TACATATCTGATAAACAACCAAAAGAAATCCACCTTAGTTACCAAGTTACATTTGGGAAACCAACGGAAGGAGGGGGGGAAAAAAAAGATTCAAGGACAAAGGCATTAATTGCCTTCTGAAAGAGTCAAAACCTCTCCCCCACCCCAAAAATCTACCACATCCTTGTTGGCAAAGAAAAGGGGAAAGAACAGCATATTAAAATCCTGAATATTCGAGCTAAAACCCTGACGTTGTTCTAATAGGATTAGGTTGGAAAGAACTATGTTACAAAACACTCTTAAAGCATCCCTCTCCTTTATTTGGAATACACTGTAAAGAAACAAGAACTGTGTTATTGATACTGACAAAAAAATTTGATAGGAACTTTCTAAGCCACCGTAACTAAAATAGTTTCAGATATATGGAATACTCAACTCAGTAACAGCAGCAGTAAAAGAATAAACAGAAGTATACTGAACACCTGAATTTTTGTTTTCAGGTCCCCAAAACACAATTCGAGAGAGATTAGGATCTGTACTAATCTTTTTTACAAGGAGAAATTAGCAATAATCTAGTGTGACATGTATTAAAACTTCTATTAACAGTACATCTATATGAAGCTACAAATTATACATACATTACTTATTAATGGACCGGTCACATATACTCCCTGCTTGTCCATTAAATGATGTCTCACAGGTGGGAAAACACTGATGACTGGCTTTTCCTGAGGAAACTGAGGTGGAAGCAAGCTGCAAATACAAGAACAATCATTACTACAGCTATCTCCCACGACAAAATTTGTGTAAGAAGGCTTATTATGCTAAGAAAAAGTACTATTAATTACATAAACCTACTTTTCTACACGAAGAGTTATGGAGAAATATACAGTGAATGAAGCACACAAAAGGATTATTCAGTTATAAAATTAGAAGTAAGACAGAACGGAATACTAGACTTCCATGGAACTGAAGAGAGCATTTACTGGGCAAAATTGTAGTATAGCAATGGAGTACATACGTCCATGGACAAAGAAAAACTGTAGCGTAAGGAGAGTATTTTCAAATACAAATGTTATTACTATAAATACAATGCAGTGTAACCTGTAAGAATAGACCAAGTCAGCAGGTGAAAGTAATAAAAAACTTGTGGACAGAATACCATCAATATTTGCCACAGCAAAAGCACCCCCCAAAACAAAGTAACGGGAAATGTTACAATAAATCACTTAAGTTATGATCCAGAAGCCTCACTGGGGTAAGAGTTTGGAGTTACAGTAGACTAGTAAATTACTAATCAAGTTTATTTGCAGTTGTAAGGGATTCAAAGTCAGAAACCCTCAAGTGTTGTCCCCTAGTTACCTTCAACTAAAAACATGCAGCTATCTTAGGAGCTGAGCACAGCAAAATACACTTTTGCTCTCAGCTGAGCATTTGCATCTTGTACAGGACTAGTTTCACTCATATCACTACAACACTAATACAAATCCAGGTTCCTGAAAGTTAGCTGGGAGCCACTTATGTTCTATTACTACTTTTTTTTTTTGAGAACAATTTTAATTTTCAAGATGTGCATAGACATATCTCACTCTACTTACATGTTAATATTAATTGTCAAGTTGTTTACAGTGAACGGCAGTCGATATTCCACATCTTTCTGAATTTCTGCAATGCTGTCAAAGAAGAAATGGTTAGCATCCAATTCATGGTCAATATAATAGCTTAAAGTCTAAAAAAACAAGCATGACCTCAGACCTTTGTACTTAGTTTAGTTTTGAAAAGCCCTGTAAGAACAAAATTGAAAATGCTGGAATAAGTTAATATGCTTCAGCATGTCATATTGAATATTAAGATTAAAGCAAAAAATAGGAGGTTCAACTTTTAAACCTCATACAGGATGACAAGCAATGGAAACACAGTAGGAGAAATCGCAGTACTCACTATTCTGACAACAATCTCAACTTACTGGCTTAGTTTAAGGCAAATGTGTGTTAAAAGTAGTGCTAGGAATGTTTTGTGTCCTTCCCAAGCATTATTTGGACATAGAATTTAAGACTCTAGCTTTCAGAGCTTGGGGAACAAATGGGTAAGACATGAACTTAGTTATGAACCTTGCTTTCTGCAGGCTGATCTTATTCCTCTCATAGTCAACTCAGTATTTGCTCTTGCCCTGTGAAATCACATGTTGTTTGAAGAAAGTATCAAGTATCTTCAACACAAGAGAATTCAAATCAAGGGCTCCACTGTGTTACACCACACACCAAAATTGGCACTTCCTCATTCTTAACTGAAGGATTCTCCCTGGAATCTCTCACACACATTCCTGCCCTGTAATCATCTGTCACACTTTTTAATAGCCTGCTGCAAAATCCTTTTGAGAAGGGTATATAATCATGCTCCACTCACAGGCACAACCTATAGAAACTGGGGAGGAAGATGAGGACAGGGAGAGAGAAACAAGAAAGACAGAATCATATTGAGCTGATCAAATGGTTACAACCTCCCTTACGGAAAACCTTGAACTAATAAACTTAGTTGCCCCTTCCCTAAGTGGGAATAGGTACACTGGAACTTAACTTTGGCTAGAACAACAGCAAATGTAAGAAAACTCTCTTTAAATACAAAGACTTTATTTCAAGCTCCTAACCTGTGAGGGACCCTGAAAAGGAAGTGTAGCTGCTTTACTGAAATTAAGATCACACATAGCTGGGCTTTTATGACCTAAGACAATACAAATCAAACTTGAATAACTTAGTTACCTACACTGTGAGGAGAATTTTGAGCATTTCAGTGAAGAGCAGTCAGGATACTCATAAATGAATGACAAAGTAGACTTATCAGACAAAACAAATACTAGAATGACATTTACTTAATCGCTGCTTAGGAAACAGTGCTGCTGCAACGCTTAATACATATTCCTATCCTACAGATCTGTGCTGCTACAGAGTTCATGAGCAAGGACATCAGTCCCATCCAAGAAATAAACCTTTGCACTTTTGAAAACTTGCTCGAGTTCACATACCTTTTTAAAAGCAAAGAATTTAAGGCGCTGATATTCAGATTTGTTTATGAAAACTGAACACTTTGTCAGAATTTACTCTGCTTGCCTGACTTTTGGGTTTTAATTATTTTACTATGATTAAAAGAGATCAGACAGCTAGTTTACAGGGCTGTAAAGTTACATTTGGGCAGCTATCATGTCCCTACCCCTCATCTCAATTCCTGGCTGCAGGAATTCCCCCTCTGCCTGTGCTTGTGCTGGTGCCTGCACAAACAAGTAGCAAACCAGTTCAGCAAGCTGACTGACAAACACTGATCACCTTTTTGGGGACTTAACTCAGGATGAGCTTCTCTTCCTGCCAGGAAAAAAGTTCACTAAGCTGCTGCCTGCCTACAGAGACAACTCCTTAGAAAAGTGAAGTCTCAAAAATATTTGCAAAACTGGCTCTGAACAGAATTAAGTTTATGCAAGCAACAGTATTTAGAATACTGTCATATTTATGTTCCCTGTGTGATAAATATTAGGATGGTGAGCTATCTGCAGTTATTAAACTTGGAAATACAGTAAGTATCTCTTCCACTCCTAGTCTCACTCTGATGTGACAGAAAACACTCTCCTTCCTCTTTCCTGATTGTTTTGGAGGTGGCATCTATCATTCCAGTTCTACAGAGATCCTAGGAAGCTGTACGTCTATAGAATGCTTACTTCACTGAAAATATAATTTCGAATGTATGAATTGTGGATCTCCTTTTAAAACGTAAATAGCTTTAAAAGACTAGGAAAAATGGAGGGCAGTATGCCAAGAGGGAGTATCTCAGGATGAAAGGAAGTGTTTTGTTTTAAAAAGTGTGGATATTGAACAGAAATAAAAACAACCGGCTTCTGCTGAGCATATAAACAAAAACAGTACCCAAGGAACAACCAGTTATTAGGAAACTAGCACTGAATATCAGAAAAAATAGTCAGTAGACCCCGTAGGGCTGCTATGCCACTGCAGATAGACCAGTGTGACACACAGCTCCTTGGTACTCTACGTTTTAGGGTCAACTTTTAAAGAACAACACTCTCACAACCAGCTCTGAGAGGTTTTATCCCAACAATCAGCACGTCTTTGCAGACTTCAACCCATTAAAGCACTTAGTTGGCTTTCTGGTCAGTGGTCGGTGTCACTGGGTACGGCGACCTGCGCCCGCTCCCCCGGCCAGGCCACACCGCCGCCAGCGGGGCCGCCTCCCCCGTAGCCCCGACAAACAACTCGGCGTTCGGTTTCTCAGTGCCGCTTCCTGGCCCGCCGCGGTACAGCACAGCACACCACACCACAGTATAGTCCAGCTGTCCCCCGGCGGGACCCTCCGCCCCCGGGACAGCTGAGGCTCGGCCGGCCTGGCTGTCCTGTTTACCCGCACAGCCGCGAAGTCCCGGCCGGGCCTCCCCGGGTGGTGACGGGGCGCAGCCAGGTCCTCGTGTGGGGCCACGCCGTACCCTTCCGACACAGCGCGGTCCCGCCTCGAGCGGCGCCGCGCCCGGGCCGGGCCAGGCCGGGCGACACAGCGCGGCCCTCCCGCCCCCGCGCTCTCCCGCCCGGCGGCCGCGGCCACTCACGAGGCGTGCGCCGCGCGCAGGGACTCGACCTGTCGCTGGCGCTGCTGCTGGAGGCCGGTGCGCGCGGGCGGCGCGGGGCCCGCGGCGGAGGCGCCGCCGCCCTTGGCGAGCGGGAACAGCCAGTTCATGGCGGGCGGGCGGGCGCGCGCGGCGGCCCCGGGCGGGCGCGAGGGCACCGGTGGCACCGCGCGCTCCGCACCGAGCGCCCGCGCGCGCCTGCGCGCGAACGCGGCGGCCTCGCCGCCACCACCACCCCGCCCCGGCCCCGCCGGGGGGATACGTCACCCCCGCGCGACACCGATCGCGCCGCGGCGGGGGCGGGGCGGGATGAGGGCAGGGGGAGGGGTGGGGCGGGCGGCGATTGGGCCAGAGCGGAGCGGGGAAAGGGCGCGTCGCGCGGCGATGACGTAATGGCTTTGTGCGCGCGGCGGCGGCGCCGGGGCAGCAGCGCGTCCTGCGGCTCGCGGGGGCCGCGCGGGGCCTCCCAGAGCCGCCGGGCCCGGCCCGAGCGCCAGCGGTGAGCGGGGTGGGGGCACCGCAGCTGGGCCCGCGGGAATACCTCGGCTTCCGCTCCTCTTGCCGCTCCCGGGGTCTTCCACACGCGCGGGGACGCGGCCGGGGCCGGCCGAACTCGCGTCCCTGTGTCGGTCCCCGCGCGCCGGTTCAGCGCAACCCTTGGGAGCTGGAGGAGTCGCGCACGCCTCGGGAGGTCGCCCGTGGTGTCCCCGGGTTTGGCGTGACGCTGGTGTGCCGCTTCGTTCCCGGCTGCACGCAGCCCAGGGTTCCGCGGGAACGCGCCCTTCCGACCCGCGGGGCAGCAGCGCCCGTGGGCTCGGGTGTCCCTTCGGTATCTGCGTTACGATCGCGCCTCCCCGGTTTGCCGTCTTGGCGCAAGAAATAGTTGCTAACCAACTGTAGGGTTTTAGTTTCCGATGGTAATATGAACTCGGCAGAAATTCACGTGGCTTCGGTGGCTGTGTTGTCCTGCTTTTATGAAATCTATAAGAATAAAGCTTGGTCGTGGTGGTTAAAGCCTTTTTTTTTTTTTTTTCAGATAAGTGAAGAGTAAAAACGCTCTGATGCTTTCCTTTCTCTATCTCTTAGGCTAAAAACAATAAACAGTTGAACTTCTCTTTATGAAACTGATCATCACTCAAGTGTAGTTTTTGATGTATGGTCTCTAAAGCCCCCCACTATGCCAGCAGCTACTGTAGACCATAGCCAAAGAATCTGTGAAGTTTGGGCTTGTAACTTGGATGAAGAGATGAAGAAAATTCGTCAAGTTATACGGAAGTATAACTATGTAGCCATGGTAAGTGGGCACTCAACCTCTGTACCAAATTATCTCAAAAACCATCATGACTTCAGTTGAGTTACTAAACTTCTTCATCCAATTTGGTTGAAAGCATAATGGGTTCTTAATGTATGTGAACACCAGGATGGTGATTTGTTACCTTTTTAAAAGCTAAATTTACACACAGTTCAGCTATGAAACTGTTAGATATTACAAATGAGCCATGTAAGTCTTTATGCTTGTTGTCCGTTCAAGTTTTAATTCTGCTCTTGCAGGACACAGAATTTCCGGGAGTGGTTGCAAGGCCTATTGGAGAATTCAGAAGCAACGCAGACTATCAGTACCAACTCTTGCGCTGCAATGTCGACTTGCTAAAAATAATTCAGCTAGGACTGACATTTATGAATGAGCAAGGAGAATATCCTCCAGGAACTTCAACTTGGCAATTTAATTTTAAATTTAACTTAACGTAAGTATACAATTTCTGTGCTGCTGAACATACGTTTCTGACTTACTGAAAATAAGTAATATATACTTTTTTGTATATATCTCAACTTTCTTTTTATCTGTCTGATTGGAATATTGGAATACCGTAGATACTTCATTGTGAGGAAAATTTTGTCAGCCAAACAAGTGCTTTCTTCCCTCCTTTCTGTATGGTCTGTCTTACTGTTGGTGACTTGGTCAAAAACCGCTAAGCAGCTTCAACAAAAGTTTTCAAAAGGCCTGTTTATACTTAGTGCATGTGTTAGCTCTGTGCTTTCGTGTTCAGTATTTCAGAATGCTTCTGCCTTAATTTAGTTTACTTCTTACTAGTTATTACAGAAATCACATATTGTTTGTTTACATACTTTAAATGGAAAATACCAACACTTGAACAAAAAGAAAAGTTACTGAAGTGACTAAAGAAGTATGTCAGATGTTACCTGCAAGTTCTGAATTATTTTGTCTTAAGTGTTGGTTAAAAAGCAAGCAAATTTTTACGGTCTATTCATTTCACAATGTGATTTTTATTAGTGATAAAACTTTAAGCATAAACCTCCCTTTTTCACAGGGATCAAACACTTATGCGGCACTCTAATTATATCTTTAACTGGTGGTTTACAAAGTTACTAGTATCTTGATGGTTTTGTTTTCCTGAAGTAAACATAATTGGTCTGATAGATTTTTGTATGTTGATTATCTATTGAATATCAGTGCAAACACTTCTGGCACATTTAAGAGTGTTGAAGCCTTGGGGTTTTTTGGCAGTTTGTTACAAGCCGGTAACTGGACAACTTTATATACATGAGTTAAAACTGTAGTCTGCAAAGGAGATTTAGAGAAGAGACTTTTTTTTCCTGCAGATAAAAAGGTTTGTTTTCAAAGTAGTGGGGGTTCTTAAAAAGAAGAAAACTGCTGCTGTCTCCCTTGATCTTTCTGCTCTTTTAAACAAACAGTGCTATGGCTTGTCACAAATCAGTTTGGTCTGAGCAGTGACACACTCTATTTAGTCTTGTTTGAAGTGTCTCTTGAAAGAAAAGTAAGTGCAGATTTGATATTTTGGTATGTCTGAACTTACATGGCTATATGCATGCTGGGTGGAAACTATCCATTTTCTTGATAGAATATACTAATCCTGCTAGGTAGGGGAGAAAGAGGAGTGAATTAATAACTTCAAACTGTGATCCGGGAAGAAGAGCCTGTGCTATACTTTATTTATTTTCTGAGCTTCAGAGGCCTACTTAATGTCAAGTAAGTGAAACCAAAAGTGGTTTTCCATCCATTTGTGCCACATACTGCAGAGATAAGATGGCTTAGTAAAGCAAGATACAGATAATCACCCAACTAACTTGTTACTAGTTCACTGATTTTATAGAAAAACTTAACCTTGGTAAGTATTGCATGAAACATGAATATATATATATATATAATTTTTTTTTCATGGAAGGAGAACTTAATTATTTTTATCTGTTTCTAAACATCCTTTTGGAAAGTGGCACTGTGCCAAGTGTTCTGCTCCTAAAGCAAAACAGCTGTTGTTTGTTCATAGAAGGTAATTTTTTTGTGTATGTGTGGTTCCAGCCAGGTCTTGTTTTAGTGTGCTTTTAAGGAGCATAAGTATTTCTCTAATTGAACTGTGCACCTGATTAGTGCAGAGCAACAATTAGAATTAAAACTCCTTTTTGTAAAATGGTGGGTTTATTTTGGATGGGTGCTTTAATGTGTTATGGAGATAGACAGGTGTTGGGAAGCTGATGCCTTAAAGCTGGAGAACTAAAGAACATCTGTGTGGGAGGGAGGAAAAAAGATACAACACATCTTGAGAATGTATCTCTATGTTCTGATGAATGATGACTTGCTCTTAGGAATAAGGAATATAAGCCTATGACTGATTCTAATAGTCAAGTTTGATATATTGGTTGTCTTGTCTGGATTTTTTGATGTGTTTTGTTTCAGTTGTTTTTTACTAAAATTTAAAACTTTACACGGAAGAGACTGTGGAATAGTATGTTGCAGACAGTAAAATGAATATCATCTAAATAGACTCATGTTTGCATGTTTAGTTTTGTTGTTTTTTTTTCAGATAACCATTCTATGTTTTTGTTATGATGATACAGATTAAACATCAATTTCATCATAAAATCCTTAAAACTTCATGAAATTGTTAGTGGTAAAGGGAATAAATACAGTAGTAAGAGGGCATCAAACAAGGAATAGAGGAATTTTATTTCATCCTGTTAAATTTTAGGTCCAAAATATGGCTATTGAAGTTGAAATTGGTTGTTTAGAAAGAAAACATTAGGCTACCTGAATTTTAAGGATTGAATAGATGGAGCAAGTACTCAATTTTCAATTGTAGCAAGAAGGAAGTTTTGATGAACATGCGTCTAAACATTTACGTATGCTTAAATCATGAAAAACCTGTGGGAAATATTATCCAGCACTGGGATCTGGAGAGTGCTGTTCCTAGTTCTGTAATGTGTTAGTGCTTCAGCTGTTACATGCAATTTGTCACAGTTCAAGTAATGAATAGAGATACTTTACTGCTTAAGATCCACAGATTCACTTTCCTCTGTAGATTTGCAGAAGAGGGGTTATAGATAACTGGAAGAGAAGCAGGAACTAGGTTTTTTTATGAAGATGGCATAGATGGAGGTGCTGGGAATTTTTTTACTTGGTAAAAAAATGCTTTGAAAAAATGGTTGATTTTGTAATTAACCCAGAACAAAGTCAAGTTGCTCCTGCTCTATGCTAGTGAAGTCTGTGGAATAAATAGCAAAAAAGAGATGTTACCAGGTTTATAATCACTGAGATTTGTAGATTTTGGAAATTTACTCTTCCTCTCTGTTTTTAGAGAAGATATGTACGCTCAGGACTCTATTGAACTGTTGACGACATCTGGTATCCAGTTTAAAAAGCATGAAGAAGAGGGAATTGAGACACAGTATTTTGCAGAACTGCTCATGACATCAGGAGTTGTACTGTGTGAAGGAGTCAAGTGGCTTTCCTTTCATAGGTAAATTCTGCATGTTAAGTATTTGGGGTTTCAACATTATGTATTGAACTCTAGAGCTTAGATTTCACATCTCGTGGGCTTAAGTGCTGTGCATCTGATGGTGTGTGTAGCACATAGCTCAGCCGGTACGAGTTAGAAAATATTTCTGCTGTAATACCTCTAACACCATTCTGTGAATAGAGAATAAAGGGTACGGGAGGTACTAGTGTTTTATATTTGATGTTTACACGGTAAAGAGAAAACTGTAAAGCCGAAAGATGTGAGACTCCTCGGCCAGCTGGTGGCGCTGCACACGTGCAGGTAATAGCGGTGATGGAAGAGAACTATTCCTAAGCAACTGTTGAGCAAATTATGGGAGAGACCACTGCAGAATTAAAAAGCACTTCTAAATTTGCTGTAAGTCTCCTGGGAATCTGGGCACCAAAAATTACTCAGCCTAGAAGGAGATCCCTGATAAACCTTAATTCTAGTTGCAGTAAGGAATATATCTTACTGTTTATTCCATCACAGGAACCCATCTTTCAAGTAGAAATAGATTTGTGAATGCTAAATCTCTATGAATCTGTCAAGATACAGAAGATTTCTGAGTGGTAGTAAAATTTTTAAGGCTTTAAAATATATGGAGTGGTCATTGTGTAGCCGACTAGGTGCCAGAGATAATTTGCACTTTTCGCAAGCAGCAGTGTCTTTAAAGGCTTATTGCTATGTAATGCCCTTGAATTAATGTCTTAAATTCTGGCTGCTAAGGAAGTTAGCAAAGGTAGAGTGAACGTTTTAGCCTAGACTAGTTTCCTTACAGCTTTATTCGTGTTTATCACTCATGCTATATTGGTGGATGGTAATATGTAAATGATGAAATGAGAAAAAAATCTAATTCTTCATCCATAAGTATTAAATGTTGGAGGAGACAAAGTCACATGGAATTAGAGAAGTATTTATGCTATAAACCAACTGAAAAATAAGGATTGCTTTGGTAAGGAACGTAAAGTGGTAGAAAAAGGGTGCATATAACGTTCTGTTGTAGAAGTCGTTGTTTTGATTTGTTTTGTAGAAAGAAGTGTTAGGCTGAGTTTCCAAAGGAGAGAGGTTGGAAAGAAAAGACAGTTAAAAAAAGAAGGATCCTCTGAGTACATTTGTCACATCTTCCACTTACAGCTGTCTCAACTCACAATATGAATCCAAAGTAATCTTACTCTTGCTATCTTGCTACTGGGGTAGCAGCTGGTGGAAGAATACTGCAACAAGAATGCCATAAACTACTTCAAAATAATTACAAAGGCCAAAACAGCGAATTAAGTTTTTTTTCAGCTTCTTAAACCCATTATTATGGGCTCGTATGTGTATATTTGTGATTAACACTTGACTTGAGAAATACAACTTGGATGCTTCAAGAGAAGGGGAGGCAGGTTGTGCATGTAAAAGGTGCATCAGCAGAGACTGGCATGTTGAAGCAGCTTCAGCCCCCAAATGGTGTTTTTCCAATATTGCCTGATGATTTAAGGGCCCGGTATAAGGTATACCAGAGCCATTTCTACAGTAAGGATTCTTTTTTAAGCATATTTATATTTAGCGTGTGTAATTCCTGACTAATAGGCTGGTCAAAGTGTAGTGCAAGCTGTGTGCAATAATGCCATTTTTACTGGTTTAGCCAGTGTATTTCACTGAACGTGTCTTTAGAAATCTTCTTAAGACAGCTATTCCAGCAAATGTTTGTCAAACACTGATTATCAGAGTGTTTAAAGGCTTTTGATCTTTGCCAGGGCTTGTTGATACTATCTTGAGCACAAAACCTGGGAGTAAGTGGGTTACTTTCCGAGGAAACCAAGATTGCACAAAGCTATAAATGAGCACAGGTCATATAAAATGTGCCACAAAGAATAGTGAATAGCTGTTTCTAAATATATTTTAGATTGATTGTGATTATGTTCTATCAGCAGGACGCTCAGCTGAAAATTTCTTCCATGTAGGCCCTCATGCAATAGTTCTTTGACTGCTGAAAAAGCTGTGCTTGATAGTTGCTGACTCTGCTATTACTTCCATTTCCTTAAAATGCTTTAATTACTACTAACCCTTAAAATTTAAGTCCCATAGGAAGTGGACAGAGGGGAATTACTCCTTTCTTGTTGTGAGGTTATGGTTTGGTTTTTATTTCCCAGTCCTTGATTTCCTTGAACTCTTATGCATTTTATTTCTAAGCTCTTCGCTTCTCAAATAGTTTTCTTTGTGTGCTTTTTATCTCTGCATTTGATATAGCTGCCTTAGCATCCTGACATATATTGGCAAATCTGTATGGACCTGCAGTTCTGACAGACATGAGTGAAGAAACATTTGCACTGTCATCAATTCTTGTGTACTGCAACTGCATAGGCAACTCCATCAAATCTTTTGAGCGTGTGTGTGTGTTAAAATGTACTCGAGTCAATGAGAGAGGAGGGGGGAGCCCTGAATTTCTGATCCTTGTCACGGTCAAAAGAGCTGTGAGTGCTTGGCAGTCTAGCAAGTTATAAAGAAACAGCTCAAATGCTGGTCTTGTGGATGTTCAGCTGACTGCTCTGCTGAAGCTTTTTAGTGTCCACCTGTGTGCAGCCTCCTCTGTCTACCTTTGGAGGGTCTGTGAAAACATGCTTTTTTGAAAACAAAAAACCGCGTGTTTTTGGGATGCTGGAAAGTTCCAAGCTGTTGTGTTTCAGTAATCATTTGTCTAACTGGTTTTAGTAGAATTTAATCTGTTGGCTCATATCTGTTAGCTCATTATAAACTGAAGTAAAGTGCTCTCAGCTCTCACAGGTTTTGATTTATTTTAGAGACTTGGTGCTTGAGTAGACTTCATTGTTAATTAGCTATCTGAATTATTTTGGATAGGAAGGGAAAGAAATACAGGCCTGTTTGATCTTCTCTATGGTCTCGTGTCCTACAGCTGTCCATGTTCAGTGAAAAAACAAAACAAATGTCTGTAAGAGTGCTTATGTTGTATAGCTCCATGGATTGTGGCTCACTGCACTAAGCAACTTCAGGTGATTATATTAGAAATGGTGAAAGGCTTTTGAGGAAAGGAAGCCTATGTGCTTCAGGGTATAAACCAACCACTAATTGCCTGTTAGAGTATTAGAAGAAAACTTTTTTAATGAGCAGGTAATTACATAATTGCTCAACGTGGACTTTCTTAGCCTTCTGTTAGCATTCAAAATGTTTTAACTGGGTATATCTTAGTCTTGAATTGGAGTGACAGTTTTTATGCCTGTGTAAGCTTGGATCTGCTACAGTCTCCCAGAGAAGAAAGTGTGTAATTCTCAATCAAAACTGCACATTTGTGGTAGCCTGCTCACTCCCAATATGTGAATAGTAAGTGCATGTTGACTTTTCTTTTTGTGCAGTGCTTCCTTCTCCAGAGAAAGTATAAGTGTTTAAGAGCTTCTGTTTTCTAGTAATTCATTCTTGTACATAATTTTTTTAGAAGAGAAGTCAAATATTTTTGAAGAGGAGGAGCACAAATACTGGGGTTTTTTTCGCTTTAAGAGTTTTAATATGACTGTTACATTTGAGCCACGAGGATGATCAATGTCAGGAGTTCAGTGAGTTAATAAACTCTAGTCTCTAGAGCAGTAAATCTCCTTAATCCTGAACAGTCTTTTTTTGCATCTTTTTGAACAGCCTTTTTGCTAATGTGGCTTTTTTATTTTTTTCTGTAGAGGCTTTATGCTGATCCAGGTTTTCCCACCTTCCCTCCCCCTTCAGATGATCTAATAAAATTCCAAGCTACTGTTTCGCCAAGTATGCTGCAATTTTTACTTTGTAAGAATCGACTGAAATCCTTCTTTATCTTTGACTCCTTTGCTCCCTGGCCAGTGGCTGCTGCTGTGGAGATTGGAGGGCAGCCAACACAGCTTCAAAGCACCAGATGCAGTGCAGGATTTGTTCAACATGAAATTTTTAGAATACTGGAAAGCCCCGTGGGAGAGCTGCAATAGTCTGTATCTCTTGTATGTTTTATGTGAATGGACTTACTGGGAATAAATGGACTGTTTCCTATATGTTAAAGGTTTTTCTACCCTCTGTCTAGAAATTCATAATGTAAAGATGTAGAGAACCTTATATATATAGAAAAGATAAAAAAGTAATCCTATTTACACTGAGTATGCAAGCTGAAGCCTTGAGCCTACATCAGAAGTCACCAGTGTTTGTGGATTCTAAATATCCTCAGGATAGTGGTACGGTGCTCTTAACTGATTTGTCTTTTCTATTGCTCATCTCACAGTTAAAGATCTTGGTCAGTATTTACCAAGCTGCAAAATTCTTGGGTTTGAGTATGATCCTTGTGTAATCAAGAATGAACACAAAGTCTTAAACTTGGAATTTGGAGTCTGTGGTGGCTACCTGTTCACTTGAATCAGCTCTCAACTCTGTGCTGAGGTTCCTTAAATAGCAGAACTGATGCAGCCTTCGGTAGAGGCAGCCCTGCTGTGTGTTTTCATCTTCTTTGTTAGTACAGGCATTTTTATGTATGTCAGTAAAATCTAGGAACTGGTTTGGTTCAATGCAAACTTAATAACCTAGAAGAGAATATATCAGTCCTTTATCTAGTTCAGTGCATATGTGCATGAGCAGTCCTGCAAGTACAAGGGATCAGAACAGATCAGATTCATGATAAGGTCATGAATAATCTGGTTTGTAATTGCCCTCCTAGGGAAAAGCATACCTAGTTATCCCTGCTTTTTGTTGTGGTGTTCAGTCCTGCTTAATATACCTGAATTCTGTCTTTCCTATACTTTAAGCGCTCTTGTTTCCTCTCATAACCCTTTGTAAAAAGTATGCAGTTTCTCCTTTTACTGCCACACCTCATTCCAATGTTCTCTTTCTTCAGTCAAGCTATTGAGGAGGAAGCCTTTCCAAACTCTTCTTTCCACCATGCACACAGTATAATACCTCAGTTCTTTCTAACAAATGTGTACTGCTCAGTTATCTTGCTGCTTCCTGCAGACTTACATGTACACACAAAAATTTTTCCAACTTGTTTTGTCATTGCCTCCAGAAAGAGAAATAGTCTACAAGCTATTAATTTTTTCAGTTGTCTGTGTGCAGATTTAATTGGTAAAATTAAAGATAATCCCTCTTTTTCTTTGCTGAGGCTTAAACTTTCTTCCAGGCATAAACATGCATTGGCTCTGGAAACTCATCTTTTGGATTTCAAGAACTGTAGACGTTTCTCTCTGTCTCAGTTTGTAGTGAGAAACTCCAGTCTGTGTGAAAGAAACTAGCTTAACAGTCTTTCTGATGTGAGTTCTTGTTATCAGATGAAGACCCAGCAGCACTACATTATCTCAGGATTTAGAGAAACTCCTGTAGACAGATCTTTTTGCTTCTTCACTTTGCCTCATGCAGACTAAATTAAAATGGTTTTTCTGGAATCTGCAGTGAGGCCATTTACATTGAGGTTTATTTTTTTCATAGAAGTTGGTCTTAATTGCATTGAAATTAAACAAAATGTCCAGTTAATGTGCAGTAAAGTCGTGATGTTGGAAGTGAGAAGTTATTTGCTTATATTGTTTTTGTTGTTAATTTGCAGCGGGTATGACTTTGGCTATCTAATCAAAATCCTGACAAACTCCAATTTACCTGAGGAAGAGTTGGACTTCTTTGAGATACTGCGGTTGTTTTTCCCTGTAATCTATGATGTAAAATATCTCATGAAGAGTTGCAAAAACCTGAAGGTAAGTAGTCTGTTAATATCTCAGAACAAATTTTGCGTTTGGAGACAGAGTACTTTGTGCTTAAAAATACTTATTTTCTATATTTTTATTGTCTGGTTTTGCTCTGATAGTGCCTACTGAGCACTGTTGTCTCAAGCTTCGTATGTTTAATATTAAAGGCAATTTTTAGAAGCAGGCAGGAGCACAAATCTATTTTTATAACTACTTACCAGTTAAAAATATCATGGTACTGTATTTACAGTGCTTTGTTGATAGATGATAAACCCATGTTTGGAATTAATTCTTCATTTCCTTAGCCATGAGAATTGTTAGGTTTCATATACTCTTATTTCCTTATTGTGCAGCCCACTAAAGGACTGCAGTCATCTAGGCAAAGGTAATTGCAATGAAGATGATGTGGAAATGTCTTGGGAAGAGGAATGGAATGAAGAATGTTTCAGATGGCCCTATAACGAAAGATAAACAACAGCATATGTTCAGGGACAACATGTGACTTCTAGGAAAAAAAAAAAACAAACTAGAAACTAATCTGTCATGTCAGGCCAGTGGGGCTATTAATTGGCTTACTCTATCAGGCATGAAATTTGGATACTTTATTGGACTGGAGAATTAATGGGAACTGGAACTGATTATGTGAAGGGGAAGACAGCAAGTGAAAGAAAGATGCTAAAGGTACTGTTAACAGCCTTACTTGCCAAAGAACTGGACTACTGCTGGAATGAGGTGCATTGCTCATCTGAGGCATTCAGTGACTTGTTGCTCTTATGGAAAGTAACTTTCTAGGCTTTCTTAAATGAAAACCTGCAGGAAGAAGAGAACACTCACCTTAGTAAAACCAAATCCTAACTAAGGAATGGCTTGCCGCTTTGTTGTACTGAACAAGTGATCGTGTGCTGTTTATAGGCCTCTGTTTCCTTCTGAGAAAAGAGTGTGTCACTTGAGTGAAACCTACTTGTGTGAGAAGTAAATTAACTTTGTTAATGAAATTAATGATGAAAATGTAGACCACTCTTCCAGTTAGTAAGAAAAGTGTGGCTGTGTTCATCTGCAGTTGTTACTGATATAATCAGCTGTACAAATGGCTGAGTATTGGAGAACATCTTAGAAGCAGTTTTTCTTCACGGAGGCCAGGAACAAAAATCAAATACTCCTAAACTTCAGGAGTCTTAAATGAGGGGTAGGGAGGAGGCCCCCCCCCAGAAAAAAACCCCTCATTTCTCACTCCTGATAAAGCAAAGTAAAGCATCTGGTGTCTTAGTGGTGGTGACACACTTAGCAAGAACAGAATGTAAATTCTAAATTTAGTGACATAAGGAAAGGTAACAGATTGATGTTCTGTGTCACTGTTCCAGAGGTGACATTCCCAGTGAGTTTGGGGAGGAGAGGATTCAGTTCCTGACATTTCATTAAGACATAGTTGTGTGTAACTTGCATTGTTTAGAGACACTAAGATCTTTTGGAAGACAGGAAAAACCTTCACAGGTCTTATTTCAGCAAACCATAAGAACAAGGGTGATATTTTTTTTTCTAGAGTTGAATATGTAGGTCAGCTTTCCTGCAGTAAATTTTGATCCTGTCACCTCATCTGCAGACTAATAGTGACAGCAGGGGAGTGGGAATGGACTATCTTACCCCTCCAGATTTACCAGTGATGAAATGATGGTGGACTTGAGCTGTACTGAGAGAAGCTGCCTGAAACAAATTACTGAACATTCAGTGTTGTGACTCTAAAAATGCATGTACTGTCTCCTAATGTGTGTCACTTTCAATCTGTATTAAATGAATTGAACAGTGAATTGAACAGCTGTGCCATTGTCTTTTATTGACTTGTCTAAGCTATTTTTCATATGAAAGTCACTGACCTGCTATAGGTCCCCACTCTCTGTTCCCACACAACCCAAAAAGATTTTTGGTGTTGGAAAGAGAAGTATGTTTCAGGATTGGAAAGATGTTTGATGCTTTTTTTGTGGAATTAAGTATTCTGTGAATTTATAGTATATTATTCTGACTTTACTGGCATGCAGATTGGGAGATATTAATGTAGTATAAGTTAAACTTACTTATTCTCTAAAAAAAGCTTTTTATGTAGACAATTCCAAACCTTTTGATAATAGTGGCAATCCTAAGGAATGTAGATTGATTGACCTTGTCAGAAACTTGCTTTTAATATGGGGGTTTGTACAGAACAGTGAACTCTGGGAATGTGCCCTGAAATGAGAATTTGAACTGGATTTGCTGTTGACCATGTTTGTGTGATTATGTAAATTATTCTGTGGCCTTTTTCTTGGAAGGCCGATGCTGTGAAAATTTGGGAAGAACTTGTCCTTCTCCTCCAAGAGTGAAGTATACTGAGCCAAGTGCAAAAGGCGTGCCTGAAGGAGAATCTCAATAACCTGTTAATTTTCTGTCCTGATTCTGGTCAGCACATGGTTAATTTTTGCAGTAGCCAGGAGGGGGCATGGCTAGGACACAGAGGTTATTCTGTACCACCTAACATCATTTTCTGGGTCAGGGGGTAGAGCTCGATGCTGTGGTGGAGTAGCATAGCAGAGGAAGCAGTCAGATATTGTCAGGGGTTTCTGCAGGGTGAGCAGTAATGTGTCTTTTCTTGTACACGCAGTCACTAGTATTGTTGCTGTTACTGTGCATTTTCTTAGCTCATTGCTGTTTTCCAGTAAATTGTTCATATTTCAACCCGTGATCTTTACCTTTTTTGCCTTCAGTTCTCCTTTCTAGCCTGCTGCAGGGGAAGGGCAGTGGGGAGTGAGTGAGTGGTGTGTGTTTTGGAGTGGTTTCAGTGGGAACACTTAAACATTCTTAAACCATAACATTTTCAGAGACAGCCAAATTTTATTCTGTAATTATTGCACTTACAGACCAAGAAGTTCCACACAAAAATGGTATATATTTACAAATATATATACACACACCATTAAAAGCACTATTTTCAATGCATTCTTTGGTAGGCTGCTGTTACTGTAATTTTTGTATTACTAAGTCTGCATTCTAGAGCTTGCAGCTGCTGGGTAAATATCATTGATTTTTATTCTGGAGTGTTCCTCAAGGTTATTTGGAGCTAGAGTAGATAGTCTTACAGCTAGCAGAACCTGATAATGAGGCACTGCTAATTTGCTGCTTGACGAAGTAGAGAGTTAGGAGCAGAAACTGGTACCTTTAAAAGGGTTTGGGTCTAACTGCTGTGGTGAATTAGCAGCTCATTATTGGAGTTAGAAAGCAGAGAATATACTTGTGCCTGGGATGTACCCTTTTCCTTGCTGGCCACCAACCCTCAGCATGATTTTGAGAGTGTAAGTTAACCAAGCAAGTTCACAGTGTTCAGATGCTCTATCTAAGCACATAAAACAAACCAGCTTGAGGACTTAACTGTAAAGCATATAGTCTAACCTTAAACTTTTGTAAACTGTATTCCTGCTGCTTAAGACAGAATAAATCTATCTATACCAGTGCTGTCGGTTTGTAGGTTTTACTTAGGAATGTTATTATTGAAGATTCCTTTTTTTTTTTTTTTTAACAAAAATGTGGACCCAAAGCTGTTGCCATAAGAGTCATGGGAATTTTCATAATGTTTGATCTGAATTTCAGGTCAGACTACTTTATTGCTCCATGAATTTTACATTCGACTTGTTGTGCTTTTGCCTCTTATTGCTTCCCTTTGCCTACTTGAAACAGATTAAAGAGTGCAAGGAAAGGTGAACTCTAGGCATTGAAAAGCATTGCTTCTGTGCAACATTTTTGCCTCACAGAGCTTATGGCAGCACTGAGGATTTTGTCGGTCTGTTTTTTTTAATCTTTCTAGACCTTAAAGAATGTGCACGTGCTTTAGTCTTTCCAGTAGCTTTATAGCTTAATGAATTAAAAAAAGAATTGTACAGTCATGTGCTCACAGCATTAAAAGATTGCAGTTACAGTGTAATGTTTGTCCTTCAACTGATCAGTGTTATCTACCTATAACCAAACCAAATTCTGACAGGTTTGCTCCCACACGTAGCAGTTACTACTGTTTTGGAGCGGACACTCAAAGGGGGTTTATTTAGTCACTCTGCAGTTAAGGGGGCAGTTTTTCACATCAGCTTATTGGGAAGAAAATTTGTCTCAAAAGTGAAGTCGTCTCATCTTTTAGAGCAGATATGATTTGCAGCTTTGGTGTGTTGTCTACAGCTTCACAATCTGTCCTGTTCTATCAACATTCAAAATGGACAGTTACCATTTTAAATTTTTTCCTTTTTTGTATGTCAGATATTGATATAATTTTTTTAAGAAATAGGTTTTGTTGCACATGTCTGTTAAATGTATATTTTTAATAGAAAAGCTGTTAAAGATGGCTACACCATAGTACTCTAATATCTTAGAAAACTAGTTGCAAGATGGATTATATTTGCATGTTTTTCCCCTATTCTCTTACAACAGCTAATGAAACAAACTGTTAAAAGGGATAGAATGTCCTGTAGAGATGGAGGGAGCACTACCTTCCTCTTTTAACTTTGCCACCTGGTTTCTATATGTCTGTGGTCTAACATATTCCTGGGCTTCCTGTAGCGTTCTAGGTACTTAAGAATACTCTTGGGTTTTGTGAAGGGATGTGGAAAAACCCTCAGCTTAATTGTTGAAAGGCTAGTGGGGAGAAAGAAGTCTGTTTCAGAGGAAGCCTAGACACTTTAACATATGGAAGCATACAGGCATGTCATTTGTAAGCGCTTGAACTGTTGTGTTTTTAAAAGGCAAAAATGTAATTCTACACTTTTGTTCAAATAGAAGTATAGGAACACCTGGTTTTGTTCTTAAGCATTGCCAGTCCTCCTTTCAACATTTTGAAGAAATTGTTAAGTAGTATCATCTGGTTACTGGACAAACTGGAACATTAGTAGTCTTGTTGGTCACAAATACTGTCTTATTTAATCAATTCTAGCAGAATTTTAATGCTGCTATTGATACAGAAAGTTTGATTCTCCAGGTGTCAATTAATCTAGTACAATGACTGTTTCAACAACTGAGCAAATGTTAAAATATACCTGAGGTTGTATGACCTGTGTAACAGATTTTTCCCAAGTATAGCAGTTCAGTTTTGATTTAACTTTTTTTTTAGCAGTTAACAAAAGTGTTTTCTTTTTCAGGGTGGATTACAAGAAGTGGCTGAGCAGTTAGAGCTGGAAAGGATAGGACCACAGCATCAGGCAGGATCCGATTCTTTACTCACAGGAATGGCCTTTTTCAAAATGAGAGAAGTAGGTGAATGTACTGTTTATATTTCCATGATTGTAACGTGCTGTGATAGTCACACAGAATTGCTGATTCTGATAAGTCTGTGGTATTTTAAGGAGGTCTCTAAAGGGCTTTAGGGGTCAATCCTTTCTTGACAGAAATAAGACTTACCTGCATTTTCCCCAGAGTAAGTGTGAACCACCTGTACTGATTCCCTGCTTAGCTGCTGTGATTATTGCTTCACATTTCCAGCCTGTGCCTGGCTTTTGGATTTTTTGTGAATTTTGTTTTGGAGTTTTTTCCTTACCTGTTTTGGAGGGTACCTTTTTTTAGGTGAGTGCTGCAGTGAGTAATGAGCTGCTGGAGCCAGACTTCCTTCTGGGAGACTATGCTCAAGACAACCTTTTTTTTTTTTTGAGCTTCTGCTCAGTGTAATACTCAGCTGGTGTGCACTGCTGCTTGTGACAGGCTGAGAGGTGGGGAAGGAATGTTGACTAACCACTTCTAGCTAAACTTTCAGGCTACAGGTATATTAAATAATGACTTTCAGGCTGTTGTGGAGAATGTCCATGTGTTTCTTCTTCCTTACCATTAAGCAACGCGTAGATTGCTAATGTTCTAAAAGATTATATATCAGTCAATTAATTCAAGGTTTACAGCAGGGAAAATCAGCTCTTATAAGCTTCACACTTCCTTGCTGCTTGTCCGCATACAATAGGAAGATATTAGGATATTTTGCATTAGCAGAACAATCAAATACTGAACAGGCTTCTTCTGGAAACCAGTTCACTGGACAAATGCCAGTTCATCAGAACATGGCATTCTGCCAGCAATTCAGTGTCATTTACCATGTTGAAATAGATGGTAATATCAAACCTCATCTTTTAATAATTTTAAGCACTGTAGGCTGAGGTGTCTACCTTCTGTAATGCAGCCTTTTGTATGAAGGAGAAAATGATCATAAGATTCTGACAAATACTGGTGAGACAGCTGGTGAATAATAAATGATGTAGTTTAAGCTGGTTTGCTCATCCTAACACTGTTCTGCCTCTGCTGGAACTGTTGTAGTTGTCAAGCAGGTCATGGGCTACAGATGTAATGAAGAGGATTATGTTTTTGGTATGATCCAAGCCCAGTGCAGCTAACTGCTGTCTGCCTGGTTAATTTTTCACTCTTGAATTTGAAATGAAATGAAAGCAAAGAAAGGGTAATACATGATAGTCATGTTTAAGAAGATACAGACTTTCAAATTACTTTTATAGAGTAAAAGGTTCAAAGTCATAATAGTTTCTTAAATGAGATCACAAAATCACAAAATATCCTAAGTTGGAAGGGACCCACAAGGATCATCAAATCCAACTCCTAGCCCTGCACAGGACCATCCCCAAATGCTGCACCATGTGCCTGAGAGTATAGTCCAAACACTTCTTGAGCTCTCTCATCCTTGGTGCTGTGACGACTTCCTGGGGAGCCTGTTCTAGTGCCCAGCCACCCTCTGGGTGAAGAACCTTTTTCTAATACCTAACCTAAATCTCCCCGATGCAATTTCAGGCCATTCCGTCAGGTCCTGTCATTGGTTACCACGGAGAAGAGATCAGTGCCTGCCCCACCTCTTCCCCTCATGAGAAAGTTGTAGACTGTGATGAGTCTCCCCTCAGTCTCCTCTTCTCCAGGCTGAACAGACCAAGTGCCCTCAGCCGCTCCTCATACGGCTTCCCCTCAACACCCTTCACCATCTTTGTTGCCCTCCTTTGAACACGCTCTAAGAGTTTAATATCTTTCCTATATTGTGGTGCCCAAAAGTGCACACAATATTCAAGGTGAGGCAGCACCAGTTTACCAAAAGCTTTTACCAGGAAATCTTTGAGGGCTTTTTAGTGCAAAATACTCGCTTAATTAAGCCAACAGACGTGGTTTGTTTTTTTCCCAGTATTTGCAGATATTCTTTGCAAATACAGTATTTCTAAATAAAAATGCAGTAGTAAGCAGAGAGAAGTACATCAGATGTTGATTTTTAAAGCCTTTTCAGGAGAGTTCAGTATTTAAAAATGTATTTCTAACTGAAAAGTCTTCATTTTACAGTGCTTTTAGAGGTACAAAATTGCTAATTACTGTGAAGGAGCTGCAATTTGCTTAGTGGGTTTTGGAGTGCCAACCAAAAAAAGTTACTGCTCTTTTTCTTTCCATCAGAAATACTTAAATAATTGTACTACAACAGTAGAATTATTTTGGGGTTTTCCTACTGTTACGACCCACCCCAGAAAAAGGGGAGAGGGGTAACCCAGGTTCTTATCAATAATTCCCTTGGGGTGGATTAGAGTGAAACGACACTGAATAATCAGTGTCTGAAAACATATATTGGTAAGGTTTATTTTAACAATTTTGTATCAACAGGTATGCTAGCATTTTGGGTGTTGTCATATAACAACGTGGCATAGAGAGAACCTTTTGGGGGGGGAGAAAATGCATAGGGGAGAGAAAGACAGGATAAGAGTAAGGGAGAGTAAGGAAAAAGAAAAGATGAGAGTGGAAAAAAGGTATATAGTCACCGCCCATGGGGTCCAGTGATGAAACTTGTAGTTGCCACTTCCATGTCTGCCAGTTGAAGTGGTGGCCTTGATCTGCTGGGGGTGAAGGAGGGAAGCCCCCACGCGCCAAGAAGTTATGAGTTATTATATCCATGGTCAGTGTCACGGGCCATGCCTTGAGCTTCCAAACTCTCCCTGGGCCTGCGCAGAGCTTCTGTGTCTGGCCTGGTTCCTGCCTTTCAAGATTGGCAGAGGGGGGGATGGGCTTTGATGGGCCTTCAGAGGTCCTGCCTTTTCAGGGCTTGACACCTTCAGCACTGGAGGGAGGGATGGGTCCAACTGCCCATCAGAGGTCAAAAGCCTGCAGAAGTCTCCTAGAATGCATAAATCATTAACTGTTTCAGTCTCTGACACCTACCTGTTAATTTCTTTAAAAACTACGGGGGGCTTTAAAACTTTTAATTGAAGTCTCTGATTCCTGCAGTGTGGACCTTTCCATCCTGACTGTGCTACTAAGAGGAAAGCTTGAAGGGAGAAGTTTTGAGCCTGTGTGGTATATATAGGCCTCTATGTTTAGAATTGTGTATTGCATCCATTCTGTTCCTGCATACTTCTGCCTGTCTTAGATTTCTGATGTTGATGATGACTCAGCCTGTCAACCACAGCAGTGTCCAGGGTTGCCATGAAGGTTTTAGGGTGAAAAATTTGTGTGTGTGTGTGTGGTCTTATTTTTGTGACACAATTTGTGGTTTTGTGCTTGAAAACCTAAGTCTAGAAGATAGAGTATCAGAACATCATGAGGTTTCATATGTCTTCCACTGAAGGGTTCCATTTGCAATTTAGACTTGTAAGGTGTAAATTCAATCTTAGTACAAAATTTTACTCCTTATTAAATGAAGTCCCCTCCTGTGAAGAGCTGGAAATACATCTTTCTGCATTTCTCCAAAGTCCATAATGGGTTTTGTGCTCATCCTCCCCACCTCCAAACCTTTATAACATAAATTAGGACATACCACCTTTCAAGTCAGAGTGTGGTGAAAACCCTACACTGAGGAGTAGGTAAGAAAACAGGCGCTGATGATGGATGCTAAGCATATGGCTGTTGTGAGAAACACCACAGAAATCAAGTGGAGAAATATCCTTGTTGCACTTGAAGAAAAGTGAGTGATGACTAATAATATAAAATTATGAAAACATTGCATTTGGCCATTTTATTGGGAAGGGTGCACAGTAAGACTGATTATATTTCTTGACAGTTTTAAAGAATCGTGTCATATAGCACATTGTGATAATGTGTTGAGATTAAGCGTATTACTATGTTAATTATATCATCTTTTGCACCTTGGGATTTAATATCTTATTCAAAAAGAAAGTAACATTATAAAGCCTTTCTATAGTTCTATTTAAACTGAACCTTTTCTAATAATTTGTGTCTCTCTTCTAACTCTTTAGATGTTCTTTGAAGATCACATTGATGATGCCAAATATTGTGGCCACTTATATGGCCTTGGTTCGGGCTCATCTTATGTACAAAACGGCACAGGAAACGCTTATGAAGAAGAAGCCAACAAGCAGTCATGACATGAAATGAAAGGCCATCTTTTTGACCTCCACATGCTTGTATATAGGTTTTATCTCTGGCTGAACCCCTTGGACAATAAGGCTTTTTTCCCCCCTTTCTCAGTACACTTTCTTTTCTGCCTTTCTATGTACTAAACTTGACTGTTCCTATCACAGATTTTGATCTTGATATGTAAAATTTTCTGGGTTACATTTTGGCCTCTTAACTAGCCCATTTGTAAAGAAGCATGTATAGGATCAGTGTGGAAGAGAGAGGGGGAAAGTTGAATCATAATGAACAGTCTGGTAAACTTATATTGTTTTTCCAGTTTTTTTTCTCTTTCCCCTCCCTTCTTCAATTAATTGGCTCTGATTGTAATTAACTTCCCTCTTCATGTCTGTTCCTTCCACTTGCAGGCGTTTTAGCTATTCAAGATTGTGGACCATCAAATTTGCACTTTAGAGAGAGACTGACTCAGATCCTCTGTTTTATTTGAAGTTTGTTTTGGTTTTTTCTCTTGCCCTCAGCTAGAAAACAATCATCTGCCAAGTTCAGCAGCTTCAAGCTGTATTTCCTTGGCATCTCACCCCGTAATCTCTGTTTGTTAAAGCGAAACAAACTACTGAAATCATAGTAACTGCTCTTATTTTACTATTGTTCAGTCATCTTCAAACACATCCTGCACGTGTCAACTGCTGTTTGGCCTGCTGCTTTAAAACCGCTCTGTGATGGGGGAAAGAGGCTTGAAAAAACAGCTTTACACCCTTCAGGAAAAGAACAGCTATGTCTTTAGCCTTTTTGCCATTAAGCTGAGAGTTGAAGGATATTGGAAAAGTAGAAGTCTTGTAATGGCACACTTCCCTTGATTAACCTCCTAGCTTTTATTCTAGTAATGTGCACCTCAGATATTTTTTATGAAGTCATATTTATTATGTACTTGATTTCATGATTTTTGTAAGTCAGTTTAGTTGAAGATAAAACCCAAAGATCTGAAAAAATACTATTTAATTGAAATATTGAATTAGAAGGACAATTAAATCATGCTTTTTTGTAGTTGTTACAAAGACAGATGTTACAGATACTTGTTGTAAAACAACAAAATATGAATAATTTACAGCTAATAAAGTTACCTGAGGAGTGTAATGCTAGCTTATTTTTGAGTATATTTTACAATGTATTTTAGATATATTGTTTTAAAGGACCCTGGAGTATGTTCTCAACTCTGCATAGCATGTATACAGAGCAGTTGTGCAGGAAGGAGTTTTGGTATTGAATAGCTAAATCCTAGCCTGAAATGATGGAACGTGTGACATTGTGTGTCTGCGTGTGCGCACGTGTGTGTGACACAGAAATCAATGGTAGAAAAATCTCCAAATGTTCACCAAATATTCTGTTTTATCCTGTACTTAAAAGCAAAAGATCAAACACCTTTCTCTCATTGAATTATGATGATGTAACTGGGCAGTCCTTTTTAAACAAGTAATTTGCATAACAGAGGGTATTTGTTTTTAAAGCTTTTGTAAATAAATGCCTAAGAAATGTTTTCTTACATAACAACAGACTGGTGGTTTTGTTGCAAAATTTTTCCTGGAATGTGAATATTTAGTCTGTTCAATTTTGTATTCTGTTTTGTTTAGGCATCATAGTTCTCTTCCACATGCTTATAATCTGAGCAAAAATCATGCACATTGAGCAAAATTCTGTTCATAGGTTTCTAGTAATTTCATTTTTATTGTCCTGAATTGAAAGAGTGGTAATCACAATTTACTTCTGAGGCATCCTAATCCCATTATTAATTTTATACCATTATGCATTAGATGATGATGACTTGTTGGTTGTCTTTGTCTTTAATAAGATAGTGATAGTGAAAGCAGGATGAATTCTTACATACATACTGGGAAAATTTGCATACACGTGGAATTAAGAACCCTGAAGTTTGATGCATTCACTTTAAAGTAGTAGCTTTGCCTAAAGCATACCGGTACAGCTATCTGGTTAACTTTTGAATTGGATGACTCTTTGATCCTCGATTAAAAAGTTACTTCAAAACAAAAACCCACTAAAGTCCTTCAAAGGAAGTTTTTAGAGCCTTCTAAATATGCGCCTAGAGTAAAAGTTCTAGTGCCAATGGGGATGTGCTTTTGAAGTGACTACTGAGCATCCCAGATGCTCTGCTGTGCTTTTCTTTGCTTCCTGTCCTAGAATTACAGAATGGTTTGGGTTGGAAGGGACCATACAGTTCCAACCCGCCTGCCATGGGAGGAACACTTTACACTAGACTAAGTTGCTCAAAAGTCCTGTTCATCTTGGCCTTTAACACTTCAGGGATGGGGTATCCACAACTCTGTCATGGACAACCTCTTCTGGTGCCTCACCACTCTCACAGTAAAGAATTTCTTCCTAATAATCAATCTAAATCTGCCCTCTTTCAGTTTAAAGCCATTACTCCTTGTCCTGTCACTACATGTTGTGTAAAAAGTACCTCTCTTGTAGGCCCCCTTTAGGTACTGAAAGGCTGCTGTTAGGTCTCCCTGGAGCCTGCTCTTCTCCAGGCTGAACAAGTCCAACTCTGTCAACCTGTCTGCATAGGAGAGGTGCTCCAGCCCTCTAAACATCTTCCCAGCTTACTCCAGCAGTCCATGTCTCTCTTATGTCACAGGCTCCAAGCTGGACTCAGTACTCCAGGTGGGGTCTCACAAGAGCAGAGCAGAGGGGCAGAATCTTCTCCCTTGACCTGCTGGCTACACTTTCGATGCAACCCAGGACATGATTGGCTTTCTGGGCTGCAAGTGCACATTGCCAGGTCATGTCAAGTTTCTTGTTCACCAAGAACCACAAGTCCTCTTCAAGGAAGCTCTCAATCTCTACAGCTTGTACTTTTGCTTGGAATCGCCCCAACCCACGTGCAGGACCTTGCATTTGGCTTGTTGAACTTCATGAGGCTCACACAGGCCCATCTCTCAAGCTGACATTTTTGTCCAGTTTGTTGACTTCACCACAGAGCTCGGTGTCATTGGCAAACTTGCTGAGTGTGCACTCAGCACTCGGAGGAAGTTTGCAATGCCATGAAACTGTCAGAGCTCACTCCTTTTGGAAGAAGCTTAATCCAAAGATGCACAATAGGTGTGTGTCTCGTGTCCCACCTGCTAATGGGCATGCAGTCTGCAGGAGCAGGCGGAGTTTGTTTAAGCCCTAGCCTAAAATTCTCACTGGGTATTTGACTTAAAGCAATTCTACTCTATAATAGTTTTCTTGCTGTAATAAAAGCTTTTCTCAAAAGCCACATATCAGCATGGAGCTAAGATTATGCTTTATTCTGTGAGAGAACTCTTGGTCTGATCACTGCAATCTGTCAAGAGTTGATTATAGCTGGGGAGACATCTGTGAGTCATTCATTTCTTTGGCAAAATTAGATTTAGTTTCCATTAAGGGGTCACTTAAATTGTGAATTGTAGAGATTATGAAAAAAGGAATTTCTTCTTATTTGTAGGACTATTACTTGTAAACTGCAGAACCTGAAATTTGAATCCGTTTCCAAAGTGGACAGCTTTAATTGCTTTTCCAAAAATGAATGTGCAGGCAGAGTTCCAGCTGTCTAGACATGCACCTTTTTGTTCAGAGACAAGAATTCTCTTTCTAGGCCTCTGCTTTTCCCAATTCATTTAAAATACATCATTGTTTGTCAGAAGAAATGAAGTATCAAAACCTGTTATATTTGATGTTTCTTTTTTTAATCCACTTGTATTTTTAACTTCTGGAGTCAGATCAGTGTTCTAGGAACCTTATGTTCTCTGTCACTATTTTTTTCAATATATATAATTTTTATTTTAAGCATTTAACCCTCTTGCTCATTGAAACTAGGCAAGGATAATCTTTGAGGTGGAAGAAAATAGGTCTGGAAAATATTCTGAATACTTGAAGCTTTTTCCCATATGAATTCAGGGATGACCTATAATATCTGGCATCCAAGAAATCTTACCTTATCTGACTGGTTACTCTAAGCTCAAGAATGGTTCATTCCCTCATACAGGAAATCAAAGAAAAGTAGCAGGAAGCCTGCATTGATAAACAAGGAGCTTCTGATTCAACTCAAAACAGAGAAAGGTGGAAAGCAGGACGGGTGGCACTGTCTGACATGTGGATTAAGGGCCTGGGTTAAGAAAGCTAGTCTCTCTGAAGTTGAACCTGTTGAGGGACAAGAAAAGATTCTACAGGGACTTCGGGAGCAAAGAAATATCAGAGAAAATGTGAGACCACTGCTAAATGGGAGCAGGAGACTTATTTACAAAGAACATGGAAAAGGCCAAGCTACTCAATGCCTTCTTTGCTTTGGTTTTTACTCTTAGGATTTGCCTTCAGGAATCCCAGGTCCCTGACATGCTTAGCAAAGTCTGGAATAAGGAAGATTTATCCTTGGTGGAGGGAGGATCAGGTGAGGAATGTATAAAAAAATTGGACATAATGAAATTCAGGGGACCTGATAGGATGCACCCTCAAGTGTTGAGGGAGCTGACTGATGTCACTGCAAGGTCATTCTTGTTATCTTTGAAAGGTCATTATCATAAAGGTAACTCCCTGACGAGTGAAAGAGATGTCATTCCTACCTTCAAGAAGGGCAAGGAGGACACAGGGAATTGCAGGCTGGTCAACCTCACTTTGACGCCTGGGAAGGTGAAGAAACAGATAATAATAGAAATGATTTCCAAATATAGAATGGATAAGAAGGTGATTGGAAGTAGTCAGCCTGGATTTATAAAGGGGAAATAATTTCTGACCAGCTTGCTGTATTTTACGCTCCTTTGGGCATATGTATTGGATTAGATGATTACACAGATCCCTTCCAATGCTTTCTCTTGTGTCATATGAGAGCACACTTAATGTAGATGGTACTGGATCCTTGTGATGGAAATAGATGAGGCATGAGTAGGGGTGTTCTGTGCCCACAAGGTTACGGGGTGCTTATTAGTCACCCAGTGGAGACCAAGTGGGTACTTTATGTTGTATAGCACGGGCTGGAAGACGTACTCCACCTGGCAGGTAGTATAATTTTACAGTAGTTTCATTTAATAGTTCCAAGTAAAATATCCTAGCTTAGAAGTATTAGTGCTTAAAAAAGCTTATATTTAATTGTGTTGGCTTAAGTTCTTGAGTGGCAGTACTTGTTTAGCTCTATAAAACTCCTCTGTAGTCATTCAGAAAAACAGGTGAAGGGCTAGCTAAGTCAGCTGGCAATGTGGGTCACAGTCCATGTTCTCTGTCCAGGTTCTTCTAGATATTCTACATGAGGAAAGCTTAATGCTGTAGAACCAAACTTACTCAGTTGAAGATATTTGTTGCTATGTGGGATTTTGATTTAGAAAAGTAATGGAGTAACACACTGAAATCACAACACAAACACAATATAGCAATTGTATATACAGTTGAATCACAATACAAACATCATTCCCTTTACCATTCTCTATAGCTTGCTCACCACTGCAGTGCTGGGTGATCCCAGCTGCTAGAAGGACCACATGGATTGAAGCCAGCTCAAGCCTATTGCTCTCCTCAAAGTTGCTTTTGCTGGGTGTTCAGGTTTTATACTCTATGTCATGCTGAGCCATGTTCACACATCCCCATGTTGGTGTGGCTGACTCGGGAATATATTACTTTCTACTGATTATTTTAGGGAAGATCTATTTGCAACCAGCTGACCCCTTCAACTGATACAGCTGTTTGTTTACAGCAAAGGCCATCTATGGTCACCTTGGTGTGAGATCAGTTCAGCTTCTTTGGTGACAGCTGTTGTCACTTCCTACATTCTTTTCTGAGCTTCACACACACATCTGTCTACTCTGAGCCTTCTTCCACTGAAGATGTTCATTGATCACTCACAGAACAAAAGTGTGGCTTTGTAAGGCCAGATGTTGCTGGTTTTTTGGGTTTTGAAGAAAGGGAAAACCCAACAAACTTATGCTGCTGTGTCTTTACTTTGGCTTCCCAGTGGTTTATCTTTTTCTGACATGTTTTGGGTTTTTTTCCCCCCATTTTCTCAAGTGTCATTTTTACTTGAGAACATGTGTTTCTGTGACCTCTGATTTAAACTCCCAATTGTTTTTTCAACCTTGAATAACTCACCAGGGTGCACTGGAAGGAAGAAAACACTCCTGGTACTGAATCAGTTTTTAGAACTTCCTTGGAAGTTTAATATTCACATTATGTCAATGGATTTAGGGTGGTGTGGGTTCATTGCAGTTTATTAACTTGTAAGATAATTATTCTAAGAAGTGAATTTTTAAATAAAACAGACTTATAAAGATACTGATTTAACAACACCAACTCAGTGATGGCAAAGAAAGCTAAAAGCCTCCAGTAGAATTCTGGATATTTCTCTGACTACCACAAATTGTTGAGTTTGAACAAAATCTCCCAAATAATAAACTTTTCTATTCATACCATGAAGTTATTTTTCTGGTATATCTGATCTTTAGTGTACTGTGATTGGTTAACAGATTATTTTGGTATTTATTTCCCTCTTCCGTGACTAGGTTACACAGGTAGTGAAACAAGGATGACTCTCCTGCATTATTTTAACAGTCCTGAGTTGGGAATGAAATGTGCCCATTGATGTCAGCTGGTTTCTGCAGAGGCTGGTGTGGTCCTTCTTCTGCCAGCACAGATGAGAGATTATTTTCCCACTGAAGTGGGAGAGTTGTCTTGCCCAAGTGTGCTTTCTGTGCTCAATTCACTCTGCTGGATAATGTGAGGGAGAGAGGGGAGTGAGTGGAAGCCTTCCCTTCTCCACGCACCAGGCAGAAGTTGGCAACAGATGAATTTTTTGAGCTGCATTATAGAGAACATGCTTTATGTTTTGTAGAACAGCAAATCAGAGCTGGGTTACATTTGACAATATCCTTCCTTCACCTTTCATAATAGCTGAGCTTGGCAAGCTCTGTTTTCCTTCATTCTTGTCTGTCTGCATGGAGTGTAGCTGTAGTATCTATGATAGTGTTTTATATGAAGATTGATTGCTAATGTGCTTATACCATCACTAAGCTATTTTTTTCTATTGCATCTGTTTGAACTACTGGCCAGCCATATCTCTGGTATGAAAGAGAAAATAACTGGAAGTAAGCTTTTGTTGCTCAGACAAACAGTTTGTGTGTTGTGTATTTTTTCTTTATAACTAGAGCCCCTTAAGTGAACTGAAAATTATTCTGTTTTCAGGGAAAAGAAAAAAAAAAAAGGAAAGTGACTTCATAAAGTGATGACTGTCAGTAAGTGTTGGGTCTGTTCCAGTTATGCCAATCAGTTAAACTGTGAGCACGCAGGAGGTGGGAAAGGGGAGATGGCTCATGGCACACTCTCCCAACTGCTGCACTCAAACTGTTGGGACCATCTGCTTGAGATTAGAGTGATCTAGGATGAAGCATGTAATCAATCCACCCCCCCCCCCCCGTACTGGATTTCAGGATGACCAAGTTGCTATATTTCAGTGATGCGTGCCAACTTGGAGAAATGAAGGAATTATCTATCTAGAATCAACTTGGGGAGGGAGAGGAATAAAGAGACTGTAAATATTTTTATATTTCAAATTAAAGACTTTCAATCTGGACTTCGATGGAAGGAAAGAAGAGAGAGAGCAGAATGATAAAAAAATTAGAAAGGGAACAACTGAAAAATTACAGAGAGGAAATGGCAGGGTGTTCCTTAGATGCCACTTGCTCAAAATTTCACCTCAGAAGGCTGCTGCATTTCCCATACTATTACCAGGTCACTGATGAGCTCTAAGAGAAGTAGCAACAGAGACACCCCACCAACCATACAGCATAGCAGCACATTCTTTTATTTATTTTTGGTTTTATTTGCATATGGTTCAATACCAGTATTTATGGAAGGGTTTTAAAAATGGGATGAGCTTAAACCATATACCACAGGTTATGTCTGAACTGGAAGAGGTGAAAACTGCTTACATAACTGCTCCTGCATTTTTAGAGGCCCCTGAGCAAACAGTCTCCATCCTCTCAGCACCAGAGGTGGAGCCAACACTTTCCTAGGGAAGATTTAGCAAAGAGTGGAAAGTCGGGCAGATTAGAATCTGGCATGGGAGAGACTGGAGAGCTCTCATGAAGCAAAGCTGCTTGTGGGCAGCAATCCTGGTGAGTAACATTACTCCCTTTCTTGCACCACCTCACTTCTATAAAGTTAGGTGGGTTTAAGAACCCTCTCTTCTTTTGAGACAAAATTCTACCTTTTGGACCTTTACAGTATCCAAAAGAGTGCAGCTGTCTGCTCTGCCAGCATGAAGACATGGAGTGTTTCACCCATAGAAGACCATAAAGGAATTGGTTCCTTCTCAACCTCTTTCAGTGTTGGTGCTTTCTGAGGTGCTAGAGATTTCACAATTAAACTGGGGAAAGGAAACTTACCTATGAAGTCCAAGATTGCTGGTGAAAGGGTGCCGAGTGACATTTACTGCAACTATGTTGTTAATGAAGCCATAGCAGAGATGTGTTCTGCTGTTCAGGTAAACCATAAGTAAAACTGAAGGAAGTGTGTCAATGACTCCTACATACATGACATGCTGAACAAGAAGCATTTATTTATGTGAGCAATACGTTAACAAGTAGCAAAGTTATACACTAAATTTATGTAGAAATATATTTCCCCCACCTCCAGGACACCAGTCAACTGAATCAGGGCAAGACCTCTCCAAATAATTATTAAAACCAGCTATAGCATTCCATGCATTAAAACAAACTTGTTTACTGAACCATTCTGGAGTTTCCTTCACTGGAGATACTCAAGAACCACCATGGCAATCGTGTGCAATGTAGTCTAAGACCCTGCTTAAGCACAGAGGTTGGACCAGATGACCCCAATCGTGGTCCCTTTCAACCTTAACCAATTCTGTGATTCTGTGTTTCATTCATTTACGTTTAGTCTGCTAAACAACTTTGTCTGCAATGTAAACCGGACAGTGTTTTTTCTCTCAAGTTGAAGAATTCAATTGCATAGCACCAGCTGTGTCTGATTGCTCAATGAGAGGAGCTCACCAACATTGTGTTCCATTTTCTTAATAAAAATTACTCTCTGTGAAGACTTTGAGCACTCCATCACCAGTCCATCAACTGACACAGAGTATGGTGTGGACCACTTCTGGTGCAGACATGTTTTGGATTTGTTCTAACCTACAAATTAAAGAAGCTACTTATGCATGTAGGGAGCTATGATTTATACCACTGTTTACATATATACAAAATAAATTTAACTCTTGTCATTAGGGATTCAGGCCCATCTGAGGACTCTGTAGAACTCGTCCAATTTCCACTAAAGCTTGAAACGCAGTCCTACTACTAGACAAATCACAGATATCAGGGATATTATTTTCTTTTTAGCAAAAAAGTAGACTAGTAACTGTATAGTAGGTAAAAAGCAGTCCTTAAAAAAAATATACAGAAATTACACAAAAGGCTGTAGTAAAGTGCCTAGCAAGAATATAAAGGACAGGAGAATCAGTGTAAGCAGACAAACAACATTGCATCCTTGCTCCCCCTCCACACAAATTCTCCTGTGTGCATTTTAACACTGACAGTGCTCAATATGTCATAAAGAGCATTTCACTTTGTTATAGGAAGTATTAGAGAGCTTAAAGCCAAGAACATAGTCATATCATCAGAAATTATACTTTCAGAGCATGATTAGCTCACTTTTGTCCATATCTACACAGACAGGAACCCTCAAAAGCCTGCTGACAGTGCTCTTCATGGAGACAACTCATACCCATCCAGAGAGCAGATATGGCAACAACCCTCTGGCTCAGATCTGCTCAATGTTTACCTCTGAGCTATCATCCTTCCTCTTTCCACTTCTCCTCCCTTCATCAACATCTGTTTCCCATGCCTCCATCAGTTTTCTGCTAGGGGGACAGCCTCTGGCTGCATCGAAGCTGCAGATTACTTAGGGCTATTGTGCTTTCCAAGTGTGACTTCTGAGACACGGAGAAGCCAGGCATTTCTTGATCCCTTATCCCTGGTCTTTCTCTACACTGATCCCCAGCCTTACTGAGAGCTCTCACAGAGACTGACATCTGTATTAGAGAGATCCATTTCCTTGATGTGTTTTGCTGGGGAAGAAATCTTTCGTCTTTACATAAAAATATGGAGCAAGTTACACTGAAGCTGAATTTCAACTCTTCACTCGGTATTTTTAAATGCATGCTCCATGACAAACCACCCTGTGACTAACTGCGTAAAAAACAAGACTCTACAGATATAGAGAACCTGAAGTGTTAAAAAATATATTTTCCCTCTTCCCCCTTATCCCTTAACAAGTTCACCTTTAAACAAACATAAATACGAGGTAAGCTGACAGAACAATACTGAATAAATAGCTGCAAAAAATCTTTTGGTTGCTAGACCTCTGCAGGCATCATGTAAACTGTATGCTACCTTCATGCTAGTTCAGAAAAAGTGTTCTACATCAAGGGATCCACATTCTGGCACTTCTGGCAAGAAACAGATGTTTTCAGGCTGGTAAAATATTGAGATTAAAAAAAAAAAAAGTAAAATAAATACATTTTTCCTCACTAGAAAAAAAAAGCCACATTTGTGCTCCACTAGCTATCACTTCAGTTGTAAACCCAAGAAAGAAAAATTTTAAAGTTACCTGCCTGTAAAAGAGTTAATGATAGTATTCTTTGCTTTCAGAATTATGTCACTTAGTCCTGCTGCCAGTTTTCTAAACAAACAACTGGCATCTTTACACTGTGAACCAACCTGCTAAGAGACTCAGGTTTGACAACAGAAGCACTTTTCTGTTTCAACTGAGCTGAGCTTAGTCTGAGAGGTTTTCACTTTTTTTTTTGAATAGTCCTTTTACCTAGCCACCTAGAAAGCGTAACTAAGTTTCTCCTAAAGTTGTTTTCAGAATAACAATTTGCATTAAAATGTAAACACTGATACTATAAATGTAGTGTATACAAAAGGCACAAGACAGTTAGATTTGTGTTGCTGAAACTTCCTTGACTTTGAAAACTGATAATGTGTCTTTTATTACCTGGCCAGTAACCTCTGATGCTAAGAAAGCTGCTAGCTCCTAACTTTATTGAAGGGGATTTCCTACGTGCAGCAGCTTGGCTTTTTGGTATTGCAATCAAAAGTATGTTGTCCTGTAAATGCAAATATCACAAGTCATTGTGATAAGTCTCCTTGATTGTACATGATATCCATTAAATTATACAGTAAGAAAGGCAGTGTCTTGAAGAAAAATTAAAAAGAAATCTGACACAAATATTGATAATAAGAAACTAGGAGCTTGAAAGACAGAGGCCCTCAGGAACACAGGTTGGTAAAAAGCCTTTTGGATTAAAGTTCAGTGCCAACATTCACTTCCCAAAGCAGTTAAGAGCTCCAAATGGGACAATAAAATCCCCATTTCATAGCACTATCTTGTGCAGCTCCCATCAAAATCCTCAGCTGGCCAGTTTCATTTATGTACTACCCATCTGAATACAGGCTTTTTATCACAGCACTGAGCAGTGACCCACTGTAGCATTCAATTAACAAAGAATTTTTTTCCGCTTTATAACTTTTCAAACTATTCGTAGTGCAGATCTGAGGGGAAACGGAGCTTTTGCAATAATGTTTGCCAAAAATATGTTCCAAAAATAGACATTTCACTTGGGTCTTCTTATCTTCAAAAACTGCTTATCAAACACTCAAAAGAAAATACAGTCCACCAAGCCACTAAATTATTCATAAAAATACAGTCCTCCAATCCACACTGGGTGTTCTCCCAATTCATAAGGAATTCATAAGGGCAGTAGTGCAAAAATTTGATTTTAAAGTCAACTACTTACAACAATTTGAATTAAAAGGTGAAACCAAGGCAAGAACATGGACTGATACGTAAGAAGGTCACATTTTTCTTGTGCTGAATATCAAAGTAAAACCAGCCATTTGTAAACTCAGCCTCCTATTTTTTTCATTTCCTAATATTCACTCATCCTTCACCACTCGAACACAGTAATTTTAAGTTGAAAAATTCTTTGTCTGGTTCAGAAGTAGTATGTCTAGTTTTGTATTTCAAGCACTGACATAGAGACAGTTAATCATCTGTTGGTTTGTTTTCTGAGCACATCCATACAGGAGCAGACAGGAACAGCTGACCAACAGGGCTGAATTTGGAAGAATCCATCTTCCTTCCAATGACGGCTTGTTCTTAAACTGGAACGGAACATTAATTACAAAATACATTATTACAATCAAAGAACACTTAAAAATTAAGTTATTGCTACAAGTATCATCAACTTGAAGGGGAAAGTGACCAACAGAAGCATGAAAATTATGAAGAGGAACACTGTAAGACTGTTCACAGTTGTGTTACTCATGTTATGTTATTAATCTACTTCAGGATGACAGTGATTAAGTACTGACTACACAGCAAGCAGGTCACCAGTTTATAAAATGAAGTGAGCTATTTTTACAGTATTTCCAGGTAACAGCATCATTAAAGAACAATTCTCTATTACATTACTGAAAACCACATCTGGCATTCTCAGTAATTAGTCCTCTAATGAACTATGAAGGATTATAGGATACAGGTTATTGAACATATCCTTAGTTGGGACAGAAATTCTAACTCTTAACACACTGGCAGGGGCTGTGGGCTGTATTTTTCATGTCAAAGATGAAATTACTTGGTTTTGTTGTGGTGACTTCAGCAGCTCTATTCTATTCACTCCCCAGGAACAAATATAACTCAAATACTGACAATAAAGCAATGAAGTTAAATGCAAAGTAGTTAAAAAATCTGTTATATAAGGGCTCTTATTCCAGCAACTGTATGTCATATATATATATATATATATATACACAAATTGGCTTTTTTATTACTTTTCCATTAAAGTCTTTTAAGTGCCAGACAGAACCAAACCATGCCAAAGAATTAGCAGTCCTTAAGATATTACCCTTCTGAAATGTGCAGGAGCCCCTTTATGTGGTTTTCCACTTACTCTTTGGAACATAACCTCCTCCAAAAGTGGTACCTCTTTTAAAAGCCTCATTTCATAATGGATGCTCACAAAAAGAAAAAACAAAAAAGCTCCAAACAAACAAACAAAGCCCACAAACCCCAGGAGTGAGTTAATCAGACTGCAAACATATATCTAATGGTTACTTTCTCAGACTGGACTGAAAGAAAAAAAACAATTAAAAAAGAGATGAGTTGTTTATCAAGCTGAACAGCAGGGAAAAAAACCCCACTATTAACATCTCTAGAACAGTCACAGACCATGTCTGATATTCAGAATAATCTGAATGACTAAGTTCCAATAAAATGTACAACTCTTCAAAGAAAGATTAAAGTTTAAAAGCTATAACTTAAGTAAATAAAGTGTTAGGACTTTAGAAAGTAGAACTCCAAGCCAATAAAACTAGTTGCAATTAATGGTATTTCTGTAACATAATCCAAAAATCTGTTTCTTTAAAGTCTGTCTCCAATGTTTTGATCAGTGATGACACGTAAGACATCAAACTAACTGAAGTTGAGTAATTTATTCTTTCCCAGTAGCTGCTCTTTTGTTAAAAAAAAAGATGGATTAAACAAGGCAGAAATACAGCATTTTCCATTTTGAACAAAGGTTTAGAAATTAGGTTTTTATATTCTATTCAAATAACACACACAAAGCAGTCAAAATTGCAGACACCGTCTTAAATTTCCTTCGCTCGTCTCTTTAACTTTGCTCATCTGACACCCACATTTTCAACACTTCTAACATTCACATCATCATCAAGTTTGCAGATGTACCTATATCTGGAACTGTGTCTTCATCACTGAGCACAAAAGCAGAATGTAAGGGTCAAGAATTTTTTTAGTTTCTCTTATGAATCAAACTGAACTTTTTGCTATGGTATGTGCCATATATTGCCATATATGCAATACCATCTATTGGTATGTGCACACCTACCATTTTTATAATCTGCTTTGACAGTGCAATACCATTTCTGATGGATCTAGTAACAATCACTGCAGTTCCCTGATGGCTTTCTATGCCTTCCACTTTCTCCATGGGGGACCATGACAGCATGTCCAGGAGTCATGTTGCACACAAATGAAGCATATCCACTCAAGACACTTTTTCAGGATGACTGGAAAGGTTACTTCCAACAGTAGAGACAGAACTGACCTTGCTGTCATACCAACTATTGCTCCATACCAATTATTTGGTATACAGAAAGTCTTAGGGTTAGGGTCAAATTTTTTATACAGTTTTAAATACAAAATAGTTTAATTCCAGAAGCTTTGGTGGACTTAGCAATATTCAAATATCAAACTGAATATGATGATTGATTGTGTTCATTCCCCAAAACCCAATTATTAAGGTCTCCTTATGTACCCAACAGAATCTACTAGCTGCTTCTCAAACCTGCTTTCTGGGAACTCTATGTTGCAAGATATCAATGCAAGAAATCAAAAAAATCTCAGCTGTTTTTGACAATGGGTGATTAAATGTTCAGGAAGTCATACAAACACTTTTGTCTTCAGTAGGCAGCACGTTTTTACTATCAGAAAGGATCCAGCTCAGTACCTGACACAGAACAAGACATGAATAGCTTATATATTAGATTAAATCCTTTTTCCTTCATCATTTGATAGACCTTTACCTGCATTACCATACCAAGCTGTGATCTTGGCATTCATTGTTAAGAACTAACTTAATTTTCAAACTCAGCTTTACAAAAATGGGCTGAAAAGTTTGAATAGTCACAATTTCATTGTCTTTCTAAAGAAAGGGAATAATAATATATTGGAACATTACCTAAAACTAATAGGTATAAAGATTGAACTATTTTGCAAATATGATACATCAGGAAATAGGAGGTTTAGTTTAAAACTATGAATTCATGTGCTACTACTCACGGTAAAAAAATTAATTGAAGAAAAGAAAACATATAGGAATTGTTTTAGTAATTTTCTTTTGTGCGTTCCTCAAGTGATAAGGAATCATGGAATAACACATTAAGTACAGAGAATATTAACATACCTTTTCCTTACATATTCAGATGCTTCTTTTAAGAGAAATTAGGTTTCATTTTCCATGGTTAATGCAGGATTGTTCATACCTTTAAAGACAAAGAATGGTACTTCCACAAGAAAAGGTCTCATGTCTACTTCAGCAAATAATACAACTTTTAATTAACAATCATTTTAATGCCACTACACTATTACCAAGTCTATTCCTGTCCTGTGTCTATCACACAGCTTTTCACTAGTTCCAACTAGGTGTTATCATACTCTTTTATAAGCAATTTCTTGTCAAAAGTACTATCAGGCTTAGTTTAAAAGATAATCAGCACCTGCTGGTGTCAGTGTCCTCAGTACCTCAGTCAGGTTTAACTAGGAAGGGCACAGCAGCTTTGACACATGGAACTTCCTATAAGCATGCATTTAGAAGAAGCTTCATGAATTTTGGTTCATGAATACAAATCGAGTGACCTTCCAAAACTAGTTTATACAACACGAATCATTGCAGCATAAATCAATTCCTTACCAACTTTGCCCTTTTCAGCCTTTACACTAGTTTCTGACCAAGAAGGTGTATCTGTAAGTAGGTGGCTCTGGGAATCACGCAGTGGCTTTGCAGGAAACAGATGGTTCTCACTGTAGTGCCAATAAAAAGAGCATTAGTGAACTGCAGTAATTTTTCATTATCTTACCACACATTACAAACACTTCGTCATACGCAGTACTTTTCCTACCTTACCTTGCTGCTTTTCTGATGAATCACTACTCTTTTATCATTACACATATTACAGTGCAGTTGTCACAGATGCAAGTGCAATCTAAAAAGCAACTCCCTAGCACAGAACAGGGAAACATTCTGATTTTTAACTTGACAGCTATTATATATTAATACATATATGTACTTCAGCTCCAAAGGCACTCTTACCTATAATCTTTCCCACTACAACAAGCTTGACATGATAAATAGTGGAAAGAACATCTCAAAAATCTCTTGCCTAACATAAGCTATGGAATGCTGGGGTAAGATAAAACGTCAGTAAGCAGCTAGCTGAAATATAATATATTTCTACTATGAATAAAAGATTGTCAATATGATTCCATTATAATTTCTTAGCCACGTATTCAAATTTACTATACTTTTCACACTTTTCATTACATAAATGTTGCAAAAAAGATATGAAATACTAAGCTATTATATTTATTTAAAAGAGCATCTGCATACTTTTCACACTTTAAAGATGTCGTGTTCATTAAGTTTAAGAATTAATAAAATATGTTCTATTATCGGCAGAAACAACACTTAATATTTAGCTTCCTGTGCTTTGGCACAAGTGCCATAAGGGATTCCCTCATGGGAAGCAGCTTTCACCAGACACAAAAAAGCAGGCCTCCCCAAAAAGCTGTGCAAGGTAATGGATTTGTATCACAGGCAGACCAACTAACCAGCTCACATGTATGCAGAACAGAATGCTGCTGATACTGAATGTCAGGGAGGGGTGGAAAACTCAGGTCCCGGGATGCCACTGAACCAAGACAAAGTACATCGGGGGAAAAAAACCCCACCCCACCTCACTTCCATAATGTAAAAATAAATCTGAGAATTAGCTGGTTTGCTTAGCTGTTTAAAATCTGACTTGGATTTATTAACAGGGTACATAAAAGTGGTAAGCAAATGAAGAGTATCTTATACATGGTTCTGTTTATGTGCGCACAGGAAAAAAAAATCAACTATTTAGAATGCGTAACAAAAAGCAGATTACTTTTTGGATGTTGAATTAAGACCACCAGGTGTGGAAGCTTGCTCAGGATCCTGATTAACAAGGCAAGTTGGGAAGGAGCAACCATCCCCTAAACTGAAAAATTCAGAATTAGTGTCATACATACAAAAATCCAACAACTTTGAAGAACTTTTTTATTAAAGTATTACTGCATCTTATTTCAAAAACTAACCACCCCCAAATCCTCTGGATCCTGATTATTCAACAGTTTCAAGAAATGAAGCATTAAGAACAGCATACCTTGAAAACACAGGCAGCAACCAGTATTTCTTCTCATCACCAAACACCTGCCTTAGGTTTTTGCTGAAGCCCAAGCTAAAGCCATTCTTGTCTGTTCTATGACGAAATATGGGAGCTCTGAAGACCTCTTAAAAGAAAATGATGAATTAGATCTCCTCACAAGTTACAATGTTTACGTTTCACACCAGTATATAGGCAATTGCACCAATGAGGAAAGGCTGTACTGCCCAAACGACTGAGAAAGCTGAAGTCAGTCCTGCACACTCGCTGTGCGAGCAGAGGGATGAATTCCAACGGCTCAGGAAGGGTGGAAGTCTCCTTCACTCTCCTCCCTAATCAAGGCAAGGGAGAGTGAGGAACTCACTTTTTAAGAAGGCATGATAGGTTTATATGAAGATTGCAGCATGTGACTGTACCACAGAGAGTGTTCAAGAAAGAAAAAGCTAAACGAAGGGTTTAAGACAGAAAGAGCAATGGAAAAGCAGAAAAGCTTAACCTACTTTAGTAGTAAGACTAGCCTTTCACACCCTGGCGTATGAAAATATTGTGTGTTTTTACAGCTGCATAAAGAAACAACTTTGCTCATAGACCCAGATTATTTCCCATGGAAATGCAAACTAAATTTCTGGAGAAGAGAGCTAAATATAGCTTTAAGTGTTGCAAAGTGCCTGAAGCACAAAATTCATTCACTTTCCACTAAGTAACTGATAGCCATTTAATTCCCTTAATTGGCTATATATAGTAGGCAAACTACATACTGATGTCCTGACAGTACAGCTCCCAGAAACCATGTCAGAATCATGCTGAGACTGTCCTTCTGCAGTAAAACCTTAGCTATGAACTGCTGGAAATGACCCTCCACATGCAGTACGCATTAGTTACCATGGGTTTTAAAGAAGGGGGAAGGGAAAATTAGGGCACCCTTTCAGATGCCCATGTTAAGCCAGGAAAACACCTCCCAGGATGATTCAATCACAGTCACACTTAAAGCTATCATGGCTTCATTACCAAATTATTGCATGTTGAGGGTTTCACATATTGAGCAATTTCCCAAAGTAAAGTAGGAAGAAGAGACAAACAGATCCCTTTGAGTAGCCTAAGCATGCACAAACCATGTTATATTACCTGTACTGAATTCTGTTAGTTTTGAAAATGAAAAGTTGAACTAAAAGTGTAATGTATAATGGCTACCTCTGAACAATTTTTTTTGCACTAAAATTGTAAGACCAGTTTATAAATAGAATACTTAATTACTGCCATTCATTTAAGCATCTTTAATAAAACTTTTCTCCTTATAACTAGACTGAACCATTTTTTCCAGTACTAATTTCTAAGTCAATGATTTGTCAGAATATTGGAGAAACCCACAAACACTAGAGAAATCTTGACGTAAACAAGCTGTCTTCCATTGATATAGATATCTATTCTCAAAGTTTTCCATTAGTCACCTACATATTAGTAAATCCAAAGAGAACTGGAAAAAACAGATCAATTCACTGGCTTACTCTAATTCAGCTTATATCAACAGAAAAGCATTTAAAGATTTAGAACTTTAACGGCTATACTGCAAATTGGCATTATTACAGTCCAGGATATAGCACTGAACAGGCACTCAAATCTTCTGCACCTTCTTTTATTTATTAAGATTTGTAATCAGAAACACATGTATTTAAGTGGAGGAAAATCCTGGTTTAAGGCTGATATTCAATGCAGTTATATATACTGCCATATGGCAGAGGAACAGGCCATCTTCTTTCAGGTTTTAAAAATTAATTCATAACACAGAGTCCTTTCTATGTATCTATAATTATGTGGCAGACAGCTCTCACAACTGTGGAACTGCCTTTAGGATCTCCATTGTTCACTTACTACTAAATAGAGAAGCACTGCCTGTTCTTCTTTAACAGGTCATTCTCTGACAGAACTTTGGTTCTGCAGGGGGTAAGGGTGGGCATGAAGTGCTGGAGCCACTGCCCTTACTGAGACACCATATCAGAGGACTCTGACCTTTGGGCTGAGAATGCCAAACAACAACCACATGAGCATGCAGTAGTGCATCTAACATTTATTAGAAAATCATCTCAATTTTATTTTCAGTTTTTTAGTTTATTCAGTTTCTGTTAACAAGCTGTGGATGGAAAGCAGTGAGAGGAAGAGCATAAGTTTGTTAATAACTCAGCCCTTTGGGACAAGAAGGAAAGAGAATTTCCAGGGAGCAGCAGAACTGGGGAGTCAGGACTGGACAGTGCCAGATGTGGGCAATTTTAACCAGGGTCCAAAGAACCTGTGTAGAATTGTCCACTTTTTCCATTACACCCATACATATAATATACATTTATTAATTATTTTTTGCTGTCAAACACAGAAGCATTAAATCTACTTACCTAATGTGGATTTATTCTTGCTGACAAGCCAACAGTGATACCCAAAGAGAGAAGACAAACTGACAGAAAACATAGCTGCAGCAAAGAATAAAAACATGATGTGGAACTTGGCTTGAGTATCAGGAAGGCCATTCTAAGAATAAAAAAAATGATGCCATTAGAACTGGGGAAATAGCTGTTTAATTTGATTATTAATAATCCTCTATTCAGCAAAATCAAATTGAGCACAGAGACAAATGTACCACACAAGAATATGAATAAATGAATTATACACCTCCAGTGTACAGACATGCAACTAGGTTGGTGACAGCACTTAAGTTAAAGACTTAAAAGTGTAATGTATAATGGCTACCTTTCTTGAGAAACTATAAATACTGAGAGCAAGAATCTGAAATTTGGATCTGAACTTTGAAGTGTTTTTTTAGTGAAGCATAATTTGTCTTTACAAAAATTGTGTTGTTTTATTAGCCTTTTCAAAATACTTATAGCATAAATCAACTTCAAAATAATTAAGAAATGAGTGAAATTTCATGACCTGTGATAAGAGAAAAAAAATGAGGGCTGTGGTTATTAGATCTTTTGTACTTTTGTACATGATATTAGGAGATACTAGATTACAATGTAATGCCTTGGAATCACAGAATGCCTTGGCTTGGAAGGGAAAAGTGCCAGCAAAACCTCGACTCCGGACATGAGGAGAGCAGACTTCAGGCTGCTCAGGAAATTAGTTAGTAAGGTACTCTGGGAATATGTTTTTGCAGATGCTGGGGTCCATCAGTGCTGGTCACTTTTTAAATACCACCTCCTAAGGGCACAGGAGCAGGCAATTCCCAAATGCTGGAAGTCAAGCAGGCAAGGCAGAAGGCTGGCTTGGCTGAACAGGAATCCTCTCTCAGAGACGAGGCAAAAAAGGAAGGTGTCTGCCCAGTGGAAACAAGGTCAAGTAGAAGAATTCAGAGATGCTGCTTGCCACTGCAGAGAGAAAATGTGTGCGACCAAAGCTCAGCTGGAGTTGAAGCTGCCAGAAATGTGGGTGACAATAAAAAGAGTTTTTTCAAATACATTAATGGCAATAGGCAGTATAGAAATATCATCAGCCTGTTACAGGATGGGGATGGTCACTTCACAAACAGGGACAGAGACAAGGCAGGGGTGTTTAATACTTTCTTTGCCTCTGTCTTCAACTCAGATGACAGACCAAGGGGGTCTCAGTGCCCTGAGCTGGAGGACCACGACTGTGAGAATGATCAACTCCCAGTTGACCCTGAAATTGTGCGGGATCTGCTGCTCCAGCTGGATCCCTACAAATCTGTGGGGCCTGATGGGATTCATCCCAGAATCCTCAAAGAGCTGGCTGATGTCATCACAAAACCTCTCTTGATTTTTTGAGCGGTCTTGGGAATCTGGAGAGGTCCCAGCCAACTGGAAGCTTGGGCAAACCTTGTCCTGATTTTCAAGAAGGGCAAGAAGGAGGACCCTGGAAACTACAGGCCTCTCAGTCTCGCTTCCGTGCCTGGTAAAGTTATGGAGAAGATTATTCTGGGAGGTATTGAAAAACACCTGAAAGACAACGCAGTCATTGGTCACAGCCAGCACAACTTCATGAGGGGAAAGTCCTGTTTATCAAACATTATTTCCTTCAATGATAAGGTAACCCACCTAGTTGATCAAGGGAAGCCAGTTGATGTCATCTTTCTGGATTTCACTGAAGCTTTTGATACTGTCTCTCACAGGATCCTTCTGGACAAAATGTCCAGCACAGCTGGATAAACACATCGTGCAGTGGGTGAGCAATTGGCTCACGGGTCGAACACAGAGGGTGACAGTGAATGGGGTAACATCAGACTGGTGACCTGTCACTAGTGGGGTTCCACAGGGCTCCATCTTGGGTCCTGTGCTCTTCAACATCTTCATAATTGACTTGGATGCACGACTGGAAGGGATACTAAGCAAGTTTGCAGATGACACAAAACTGGGAGGAGCTGTTGACTTCTTTGAAGACAGGGAGGCCCTGCAGAGAGACCTCGACAAATTAGAGGGCTGGGCAATCACCAACCATATGAAGCTCAACAAGAGAAAGTGTCAGATTCTGGACGTGGGATGGGGCAGCCCTGTATGTACATACAGACTGGGGAATGAGATGCTGGAAAGCAGTGCTACAGAAAGGGACCTGGGGGTCCCAGTCGATGGCAAGCTGAATATGAGTCAGCAGTGCCCTGGCAGCCAGGAGGGCCAACCGTGTCCTGGGGGCATCAGGCAAAGCATCGCCAGCCAGTCGAGGGAGGGGATTGTCCTGCTCTGCTCTGCACTGGTGTGGCCTCACCTTGAATATTGTGTGCAGTTTTGGGCACCACAATATAAGAAAGATATTAAGCTCTTAGAGAGTGTCCAAAGGAGGGCAACTAAGATGGTGAAGGGCTTTGAGGAGAAGCCATATGAGGAGCAGCTGAGGGCACTTGGTCTGTTCAGCCTGGAGAAGAGGAGACTGAGGGGAGACCTCATTGCAGTTTAGAACTTTCTCGTGAGGGGAAGAGGAGGAGCAGACACAGATCTCTTCTCTGTGGTGAGCAGTGACAGGACCTGATGGAATGGTCTGAAATTGTGTCAGGAGAGGTTTAGGCTGGATATTAGAAAAAGATTCCTCACCCAGAGGGTGGCTGGGTACTGGAACAGGCTCCCCAGGGAAGTGGTCACATCACCAAGTCTGACAGAGTTCAAAAAGCATTTGGATGATACTCTCAGGCACATGGTGTGACTCCTGGGGATGGTCCCGTGCAGGGCTAAGGGTTGGACTCGATGATCCTTATAGGTCCCTTCAAACTCAGCGTATTCTGTGATTCTGTGATCTATTTCCAAGCCCCCTGCCATGGATAGGGACAGCTTCCACTAGAGCAGGTTGCTCCAAGCCCCATCTGACCTGGCCTTGAACACTTCCAGAAATGGGGTGTCCACAATTTCTCTAGGCAAACTCACCATCCTCACAGTAAAGATTTTCTTCCTAATATCTAATCTTAATCTGCCCTCTTTCAGCTTAAAACCATTACCCCTTGTCCTAACACTACATGCCCTTGTAAGAAAGTCCCTCTCCAGCTTTTTTGTAGGCCCCCTTAGAATCTTATACTTCTGGCACAGCAGTAACTTCATACACTTCAAGACAGTATGTAGATTGGGGTACTTACTGTCCAAAACTTGATAAAGTACTGTAAATCTGTTGCAGCAATGAAAAGGCAATACACTAGCGAGTAAGCCAAGAAGAGAAGAAAAAATTTGTAATTGGAGAATCCTACACAGTTGTTCACCCTGATTAAAAAAAAAGTAGAAGTAAAAATGGAATGTCATGAAAGTTATTTTCTTTTGCTTTCATCCAATTTAAATTATTTACTCTAAAAAAAGTTAATATCAGCATGTAAACCAAGTTTTGCATCCTATCTCTGCTGCCCCAAGCTACTGAAATGGATTAAGTTTCAATTCTCAAATTAATGTAGTAATTCTAACCCAAAGCAAAATAACACCACCACTAGAAAAAGCCCAAAGAACTTTACCAGGTAACACTGCTTTCAACAGCTTACTGAAATGAAATTTCCTCTTATGGTATGAAATCTGTTCCCAGCACATCTGATGTAAATGTGATTGCAGTTAGAGCTACTTTTTTAGTTTGCAGGTAAGTATCCATGTTATACCATTAGGCATACTGCATGTCAGCTGGGACAGTAACAAGCCAAGAATTTGAATCTCAACTGAGTTTTGTGAGAATAAAAGCAGTCTCACTTAATCCACATCCTCCTTCATTCATTACACTACATATTAAAACTTCTTAGTATTATTCTCAAACTTAAGACCATTCATAGGCAATTCCTAAAAATATTTAGATTTACATAAAAAATGAGAGAAATACTAGTCTTAAATAGACAGAAAACATTTCATACCAGTGACAACATGACAGGAAATAAAAGACATTAGAAATATGCAAATACACATCCAAATGTTAAAATAAATCTCATTTTATCATTTTTGCTTATGGGATTTAAGTTCACCTGTCTCCCATTTGTGAAGATTTTATAAACAATAATGAGCAACTAGTATACACTATGATGATGAGCTTACATTTAGTACCATGGCAGCTTCCCAACAGAGACAACATATTAAGTATTATGAATTTCAGAGCTCTATTAAACATGTAATGATATTACATCCACCAAATGAAAAAATATCGGAGTGCTGCCCACAGGCAGTCTATTGGCAAACCACTTCCTCTTTTATTTGGTTGCATTAAGAAGCTAATTGAAGTTATCTTTGCACTAACTTTGACAAAATTCTTCATATGAGTTTAAAAAAATAATTCCATATACCTTAACTAACTGATACTGCTGTCAAAAAGACTGGCTAATTAAGAGAAGATTACACTCACAAGAGCACTTGTATATTGAAAAAAAATTCTAAAAAAAATGTGTGGCAAGTCTCAACTTCAGCTTCTAGAAGTGCAGGACACGTTATTGTAACTGATCTCTTCTCTAGGGAGACAGGGATGCTAATGGCAGAATACATGCTAATGAGATAAAGGTAAAATCTTAAAATACCAAATAAATTTACACTGTACACTACTGTTATTCATTCTCAGAGTGGATAGGGAGTTTGTTCTAAGTTTTGTTTTGACAAAACGCGCCACGTTGGCTAAACATTACATTTAGCATTATCATTTAAACATGCAGCAATAGCTAAGTATCTGCATTAACTACAATTAAGAACTCAAAACACATTGTTCTAATAAAAATAAAAAAAAAGGAAGATATATTTCTAAGCTCATCATGAAGTGAAGTGGGTTTTTTTCCATTAAATATGGCCATATCGATCAACATAACGGGTCTACTCTGGCCTCCAATCAGGAGGTCTGGAGACACACCATCTATATAACGCTTTGAGAAAGCACGCAGGATCACTCTCGAGGAGAAAAGACAACGCAGAAAGAATCGTGCCTTGCAGAATGTACCACCTAAGGAGTCTTTCTGTTGTGCCTTTTGCAATCGGATATGTCTATCTCACATTGGCCTTATTAGCCACCAGTGTGCTAATAACAAACGTGGATAGAGCCTTTCCCAAATCTTCGTTCGCGAAGCCTAGCCATGAAAAACATCAAAGTAGGCAATTCCATGATAAACTGCAACCAATTCAAATTCAAGGTTTCTGTGATAACCCTGTTTTCCTTTCACAATATTTATTTTAGGACTGTTTTTCCTTTGAGGCATTGTTTGGTGTGAGAAAAGAAATATCAAGTGAAATTTTATTCCCCAAAGATGAAGTTTCTTGAATCGAAGACAGATTTCTTTATCGCTGTTCTTTTGCACTATGGCATGCAGTACACACGTCAAAATAAACTTGTATAAATTTTTATGCTCCCTTCAATTCTGGCAAAGCCCCAGACCGTGGAGTTCTTACTGGCAGAGAACACTTTATCAGAAGATTTAAGAGAAAGTAAACACCAGGGGTTTGTAATTGTACTGCTTGAGCATGTAGTATCAAATCTTAAACCCCAAGGATTGTGGTTAGATTTGAAGTCTAACATTTCTGAGAAAGATTAAAATTGATAAATATACTGACAAGTGGCTAAATAATGGTATGTTACTGCAGTGAAACATTAACACAGAAGAACAGTACAGAGTAACAATTTGTATTACAGCTAACATTTTAAACACTTCATTTTGAAGTATAAAAAGAAAATACATAATTCCTTTCTCAAGAGTTAGTTTACTGAAAATGCCAGGCAAAGAAATAACTTACAGTGCACTAAAGGTGATGCAACTCAATTAACAAGAAGCATCACAGAATTCAGGGGATGCTAATTTCTTTTTGGATTACTCAGGAGATAAAGGAGAAATGTTTCAAATTATTCCTAAGGTGTTCTTAATGGACCTTGTTAACATTAGTGTTATACACAAACAATATTTTTGGTGATGCCTCAAGCCATTGCATTCCCGCCTGCAGCTCCATCTGTCTATAGTGAGTAGCAGCAGCACTAGAAATCACTAATGCATCACTTAAAACTGTTAGAGTAGTTAGTGGGCAGTTAGCATTAAATATTTCTGTTTATCACAGAACTTCCATTAGCACAGGAATGACAGCCAAAATAAAGCCTCCCTGCCTGAGAGCAGAACACAGGTGACTTGGGGCTAGGACATGACTACCTCTTATTAACTCTGCCTTCCAAATGCTTCATCTTACTCCCTAGGTAATTCTTACCTGTCCTCTCCAGAAATCCTTCTTGTAGCAGAATATTAAGTTAGAGGTAACTTTCATTACTGTTTCCCTGCTCTCCCTAAGCATCAAATGAGTTCTTTCCCCCTTCCTTCCCACACAACTTGCTCCCACCAAAAAATCCCAACATGAAAAGCAAAGCAGGACCTAATAATGTTCAGAGAGACTAAAATCCATCCATTATACTGACTTACACCCTTACTTTTGTTGGCAAGATAGCCATATATTTCCTAAAGAACCTCTGAACATGGGTCTTTACAGAAAACTATAAAGTTTGATCAGCACTGGTGCAGTATTTCAAAACTTTTTTGTCTCTTCCACGTAGTTCTTTTTTTCTGGGTTAGCCAGGAACTGTGAACATCTACTCAAATTAGGAAAAATAACACAAGACAATACTTCTTTTTCTATGCTTTTCTGTTACTTGGAATACAAAAGGAACATTTCTCCATCAGGAAGCATTATACATCTTTCAATTATCTTCTCCATTTGTATTTTTATTTTTTGCACCCACTGCTTATTAGATTAAAAACAATGAGCAATGTAAATACTCTCTCAAACTGGGTATGTTTATGTTGTTAGATTAAGAAGACTGCAAACAGGTAAAATAAGCAAATGCTACTGAGAGGAAAATGGAGTTTGTTTTCCTAGAAGTCTCTGCCCTAGTGAAACAACACTTCACTCTCCTTTTACAAAAAATTTAAGTGCTGTTTATGATTTACTATTTGATACAATGGATTTTTATTATGAAATTGAAGTTTACATGAAGGACATTTTCATTTAAATGTCTTAAGATAGAACAACTCAAACAATCTCAAAGAGACCATAAAGCTATAAGAAGTGTTTATAATACTGAACAATAATAGTCATATTGAGACTTTTCACCAATATTTTGTCAGGGATAGCCTGACAGCTGTTTTTCTTATAGCTTTCCCTGTTTTGTTGTCGGGTTTTTTTGTTCTTGTTTTTTTTAAGAAGCACATTACTAACACTGAGCATCATCAGATTTCACATGCTGATATTCCTACAGCAAAAAAATTTGTAGGAAGTAACTCTGCCCTATACAGATAACTATTTCTTTCAATTGAATTTACCATGTAGATGCAAAATAAGGGGAGATTCTTGAAATCAAATTGCATTATGTCAGAGGCTGTAGTCAGGACCACAATAAACAGGAAGAGACCAGCATCTCTTCTTCCCTCAGGATAGTGTCTCCTCTGCCCCAGAATTAGATTTAAGAAAGTGTCAAAACAGCTGCTTAGAACCACCTACCCATCAGTTTGTCCAACACAGGAGATTCTTCTTTTCTGATAGGTTTCATGCAGCGAAGAACTGCCACATACCACTCGATTATCTCAACGTGGACCTTACTAAACAATTATTTTAATTATTTCTGTGAGACACCTGCCAAACTGACATAAAATTAATTATGTAACCTGCCTACCCACTAGTCCCAAGGGCTGCTAAGAAAACACAGGAGAACAAAACCACTGTGCAGGCTGACATGGCAGCAAAAGAAGGGAAGGTGGGAGGGAGAGGGGAGGAAAAATGAAAGAACACAAAAAACCCGTAAGACTAAAAGAACTAACTTGCTGTTTCCAGCAAGCCCACTCCAGTTGTCCTGGGAGCTTTAGTGAAGGGAACTAGAAACACCCCTGCCCTTTCATTTTTAACCTAGGGTGGCATTTCATTATTCATTGCAACAAAGGCACAGTAATACTCAAACTATAAAGAAAATAGCAATCCTTAAAAGAAGTTTTTTCACTGGCCAGAAGTCCACCTCATCTTTACTGTAAAAACATAGTTACCCAGCTCAGAGGTCTAAGGAAAATTATACATGAACTTCTTTCCATATGTCACAACTAAGAAAAGAGGACATATAGTAAATAACTCCAATGGTTCTGCAAGACCAGTAACTTCACATAAGCATCTAACTCTAGGAATAGTGAAGCATCACCTTCACAAAAGGCCCAGCAAGAGTGTATTTTATCAAATCAGAAAGTAAGAAAAGAAAGCCAATAGTACACTCACCAAGGGCAGTGATGATCCATTTTCAAAATGCATCTGAATAACCCCAACAGAATTCCAAGCATTGCAAAAGGCAAAAAAAAAAAAAATCAGAAGCACAGTTACATGTCAGATTTAAATTACTCACATACAGATTAAGAATTACCCATATTTATAGTTGTGTATACCTAATCTATTTAACAAATATGTGCATTTAAATTCACATAAAACTGTCTACCTGCAAGTGAAGTGCAGATAACCTAAACTCAAAACACCTGATCTGTCAAGAGCTTAGTGATTTAAGAAAACGCAATCTAGAGCTTCAACTTCAGGATTTGGTTCTCATTCTGTAGAGGCTTTTCAACTCTTCTTTATTCTCTGACAGAGCCTTAGAAACGGGGCTAATTCAATTATTACTAAGTCATTACCAATTACTTAGTCATACAACTAAATATATTTCCCAGAATTATAGTTTGCTTTTATAGAAATATACACATATGCACATGAGGTTTTTAAGAACTTACCTTGCATGAAAAATACCAAACAGTTTTCCAATTAATCACTCTTCATTAACAAAATGCGCACATGAAAATCAGATATAATTGAAGTAAGCAAATTTTGACAAGGTAAGGACAAAATAAAGGTATTCTGCAAAATATATTAACTAATGGCATTCTGCAAATTTCATTCACATTTTATACGATAACACAAGTCACTCTTTTTCTCTGGTAAAAAGATACATGACTATTTTCCTATCTTACATTTCAACCACCATTCCATACAACACAACCAAGATCCCCTTTCTGCCTCAATTCTGTTATTTTTTCAGTGCCTCTGCTGCTCTGCTGGACAAAATGGAATGTCTTCTCCACCTCACAGTCATGTTGGAAGGTTTGATGCTGTATCAGCTGAAGAGTAACTGGAACAGCCTTAAAGCTAAGAATAAATCATCCTTTGAGGAAGTGTCTTCTCTCAAAGATAGAAATTTAAAGCACTGGGGGCAAGAGTGAAGAAACGCACAGACATCCAAGCTTGCTAGAGAAAGGTCAGAGAGAACAAAAGCCAAAAGAAAGATTAAATTAGAAAGCAATCAGACTTCTGGGGACTACGGATGTGAACTTCTTTTTGTGGCAGACAAACAAAATCTTTATTTTATTTCCCAGTTAGAAATGGGAGAATGTTTGGCTGCTTGTTTCTTTAAACAAAAGTAACCTGCAAGTTATCCAGTGAAAAACAGGATATTAAGTTTATTACCTCAGATAAGATGTGACATCATGATTAGATTGAGATGGGTAGTGATGTTTATTCAGATTCTAACAAAAGAAGCAAATTTTTGTTTATCAGCTATTTTTGGTTACATTCTTAAAGAAAATTCATTATTATGTAAAGAATGTAGAAGACCACGTAATCAATGCTGGCATCAAGGAAGCCATCAAATGAACTAGACTAAGTTACAGATTTCCCTAGAAATAAGTAAATGAAAACTAAATCTGAAAAAAATCTAAGGGAAAAAAGCTTAACTGCCAAAATATTAAACCTGAAAAATCTATTCATAAAAAATAAAAGCTGCTCTGTTAAGGAAAAAATGGATTAATTCAGAAAACCACTTATTTAAAATATTTTCTTACTTGTCGCATACAGAACAGTGATGACAACGATCTGGTTTTACAAGATGGCATCTGTCACAGTATCTGATTGCTAAAGAAAAAACGTTCCAAGATTAGATGTCAATGTACAGTTACACATTTTGATACCTGAAGTCTGTGCAAAAATAAATACTAGCAGCTCAGCCCAGAAGAACCCCCCAGGAAAGCATTTCAACATGATCAGAAAGAGTTGCAAATACCAAAGCATTCTTTAACTGCTTGCAATGTTGAATCTGTCAAAGTGAACCCAAAAAGCTCAATTTTTGCAATCTCTGCTAATCATGCTAATCATGGTTTTTTTCTTCCAAACCCCTCAGCTTTGCAAAACAACCAACGAACCAACAAAACCCACAAAAACCTACCAGACTGGAAAAACTTTAAAGATCATTCAACAATATAGCTATGTTAAGCTATTGTTCTAACAGCTTTAATTTACTATATGAGATTATCTCTTGGATTTGCTTAGCTAGCCAGCATTCACAAACTGACAGTATCGGTAGGGTTAGATTAACTCTTAGTTTGGAAGAACTTTTGTTCTTGCTACTGAACAACCAACAAGTAAAACAGTAACAATTTCTTACTGTGATCTATCTATCTATATATAACATGCAGATAGTGATTCTTTTTTTATAACTTATTTTTTTAACCTATGAAAAAACAAATCTGTGCAGCTAATGACTGCTACAGCCTCTTCTGCAGCTTGTTAGTTTTACAAGCTACTTGCTAAAATCAATTTGAAAACATCTAAAAAGTGTCAATCCACTTTAAAATCCTAAACTGTATGCCACAATTTACTTTCCAACAGTCTTTACGCTGAAGAAATGTAGCTGCATAAAGTTACATTAAAGTTAAGTTCTTGGACCATTTTGTTATTTTATGAAGTATGAAAAGCACTTTTTCCCTTCGATCCAAACTCTTAAACTTTTTTTTAATTAGTTTAGGTAGTACATCAAGACATCTGTCTTCGGTGGCCTCTGGAACACTTATTTACCTCCAGACATTGTCCGTGTATAGATAGGAAGATCCTTGGCTGCCCGTCTTAAGACTTCTTGCTGGGATTCACCTCTAGGCTCTCTCTCTAGGGATTCCTTGTCTGAATATGATAGATGAAACTGGAATAATTTTTAAAATCGAAGAAATGTTAGCAAATTCCAAGTTAAATAAGTAACTGTAGATGTGTAATGAGAAATAAATATTCATTATATGAAGATGGATTAGCAGCAAGTACAAGGAATTACAGCAAATAACCCAGTGTTCCCAAGACAACTAATTCAGTTTATGGCAAAATTAAAAATACGTCTGATTTGGTATCAATGTAGAGATGAATGCTTCCAGAAGTATTAAGCAATTCTCTTCAAGAGGAAGATCAAGAGCTTATCATTCCCCTGAAAGGTCAGCTAATTTACTTCTGTAATACCAAATATTAGCTAGTGAATATAAGCTAGGGATGTCAGTATTTAACTGAAAGAAAATACGCTACTAATAACAGCCAAAAAGATAGCTTTCTCTTCTGTCTGTCATTTTTCCTTTTATTCTTTGTCACTACAGAGTTGCTGTTCTAGTCATGCAGGTGTTAGGATGTGTTTTTACTATAGAGACTGGCTGAGAGAAGGAAGAGACGGGTGTCCTATATGACAGAATAACCACATCTTGAACATCTTCCTGAATAAAATGACAACTTCTGTCACTGCTCAAAATGGCAATAACAAATATGGCTCTAGTAAGTGCTGAAAGGGTAAAAATTTCTGAAAGACATGCTCAGTATACATGAAGTAGTACAAATTCCTTATACTCTAAAGTCCTTTGCAACACAGCACCATAGCCTTGTCACTGTAGCTTCTAGAAATGGGCAGATGCCAAAAACTTTGATATCTACATCTCTGATATTCTCCAGAAAGAGGATACAAAATCATCTCTGAAAAGAAGTCCACATTTGGCAGGAAGAGTGGCTGTCTCTAACCCGTGCTAGAAAAAGAAGCCCACTCCATAGCATTTTATGTTTACAGGAAGGCTAGTTGTTACAATGTTGAATTTTTTCCTAAAAGGAAGTGAGGCAGTAAGTAAAACTAAGGAAGCAGACAGAAACATACAGTTAGGAACCTACTCTCACCACCATAAAGAAGGCCACCACTCCACCCTTCCTTGCAAAGCTCACAATCTTCCAGCTGAAGCTGGAGATCCACCGTTTAGCCTGAGTTTCTCAAGTCACCATTCATTTTTTTCCCTTCCAAGAACACACTCTTACCAAAATCTGATTTGATTTATATTAATGATACATACAATTTCTCACTGCAGAAACTTGGTTCAGAATACTTTTTTTTTCAAATGCTGGTTTGATGTAAACAGAGCTACTACTCCATCATTTTGTATTGGTCCTCAGAGTAGTCCTAAGTTTACAAACACTCCTTCCTGGGAAACCATCTTCTCTCCCACCCTCATGCAGTACTTGCATATAGCTAGTACGCACAGGTACAGAATGGCACACACTACAGCAAAGTCCCTCAAAGTCTACTTTCTGTATGTGTTAAAGTTTGAAATAAGCTTAAAAGAAAGCTGTGCAGTTTGCACCAGCTACACTATTCATGAAAACAAAATGCTGAACTGTTTTTCAGTATTCAAATGAGTTTTTGCTAGATAAGTCAGTTCAGTTCATTTGAAAAGATAATCCTTTAGTATTCACAGACTTCATCCTAGAAAATGGAAGCCAAGCAGTAACTTAACATCACAAAATACTCTAATTAAATTTTGAAAATACTGCTCTAGTAGAACAAGAAAAAGACATGGAACAACAAAGATGTCACTTTCTGCCAGCAACACTGTGTAAATTCAAAGAACACAGAAACATCACATATTGCTTTCTATTACCCAACTTCCATACCCCATCTGAAGTTCGTCAGTAGTATTGTATGATGGCTTTGGAATCCTACTGTAATTAGTAGGATTTGTCAAAATGTTTTGGAAATCTTTCATTGGCATCAGTCCACCGCTTTGAAAACCCTTCTAATTATTGCTACAGTCACCATATACATGCACACATTTGGCTCTGTAATTACCAAATGAAATAGGCTCCTAATTTATTTTGCTCCTCCCTATCCCAAGCTGTAGTAAAGACTGCAGTGTGAACTTCAATGAAAACCGCAATTAGTTTGAATTATCTACTTGTTTCCACAACTACGTATCTTAGTGGTGAATGAAAACTATTCAGAAAAGAACCTCTGCACTACAGACAGCAGAAACCACCAGCTATTTATTTTGTGTTGACATAGTACTTAAAGCAGCTAGACTTACGAGTCCATGCTGAAGTAAGTAATGGCTTTGTGGGTATTTCAAACTACAGAACAGCCACAGAATGATTCCTCTTGACCTTGGAAGTTGCGTGACACAGCACCTACTGAGGACTAGGGGGTTTCTGAATAAAGAGAGGATGGAAGAGGCCAAAAAGTTGTATTGGTTGTACTAAGCTGCATGGGGAGCATTTCCATCAATAACCTTTTTTCCATGTGGCTGTTGTTTACTAGGTCCCTTCCTGCTTAGCCAGCTGAGGCTTCCCAGCATCAACTTACCCAATGTGCACTCCCACTACAACCCACAAATTCCTTTATATCAAAATACATGGGGAAGAATCTTTAATTCAGAGGACAGCAGACAGATGCTGGCAGAAAATATAAGTCTTAAACACGGGGAAATAAAATTTTACCCACATAAAAGTCTGATATTCCCATGCAAAAATTTAAGCTAGTAGTTCAAATAACTCACATTTTTCAAGTGGACAGGATTTTTTCTTCTTAATGTCATAAGTAGCTCATTTTAAAATATCTATTAAAAACTTTAAAATTTAGAGAAGGTGTTATTTTTTTTTGTCTTAGTCACTACATTGATTGCAATCTGACTCACTCCTATTAAGAAGCTGTGTAACTATCATCTGTGTTTTTCTACACAGTGTAAGACTACGTGAGATCAGAGACTAAGTTATTCAAATACTACAGAATCAGGCATTTAACTAGGCTATTTCAAAAACAAAAGTTAAGTTTATCTTACTTCTTTTGAAGGATTCATTGGTAGCGTAAAGATTGTTTTCCAATATGACCAGACGAACAGCATGAAAAATATGTGGTAAGCAACCAGGCACACAACTAAAATTAAAAAGGAACAGAATTAATACAAACAGACCAGTGATACTGTAGTACTTACAAACAGTTCTGCAAAAGCTTTGCAACAAAAATACAGCACTGCAACTTTACATTAGACAAATACAGACTCTGTGGGGAAAGTCATGATACAGTCTACATAGATTACAAAAGTACTTTAACTACACAATCTGAAATATTGCTCTTGTATGGTTAGCTCATGGGGGTTTTTTTGTATGTAATACTATTCAGTGCTGAATAAATTTCTATAACACATGCATGATGGAGTGTATAAATGCAGGAACAATTGCCCAGAATGATCTTATTTTTTGTAATTTTTCCTCAATAGTAACACTGAATAAATATTTCTGGTGTTGAAGTTTGTTTATATGAAAAACAGAAACACTGTAAATATTTACTCTTTTTCGCTAAGCAGTAAAAATAATAAAAAAACCCTAAGAAAATCTAAGGAGCAACTCTGTACAGAGCTTTAGGGATGACAGGGGAAAAGAGCCATATGCCAAGCCTTTAAACTGAGAGAAAAATCTCATCAGCATAAGTAAGTGATAGAACTGGACTCCACACAAAGAACAATACACTAAAAGACCAACTTGCTATCGCACAAGCTTCTGGACAGGAACAGTCCACATTTTTATCAGAACATTTCTATCAACTATAAAAAACCCTGATTTACTCAAACAAAATCAATATTTTTTTAAACAATAGTATATTCAAGGCATACAGTGAGAGCAAGGTAGGGCAAGTTACCTCAGTTCTGTACACAATGCATTTACTAATCTGCATCAGTATTCTATTGTTGTGAGAAAAACAACAATTGTGATTGATAAGAAAATTGTTCATACATGAAAGGAAAAAAAGAAAAGACTACTGAAGGAAGATGAAAGTTTAGCCTAAGGACATTATCCCAGGATTCCCCTTTAAAGACTGCACAAGACTCGAGCTCATCTTGTGTGATCTTGAACCTCAGTTCTCCAACCTGGCCAAGGAACCGACTGGTCACTCCTCCCAGGTTATCTACCCACCAGTTTCTCTGCACTGCGATGGAGACCCTGGGCTACCCACGGCTCCACTGGGTCTGTTGAGAGTCCAACATAAAACCTAATTTCCCTTGAGACAGTGAAAGAAGAGCTCTCTGCATCTCCCTGGCAGAAATCCTTCTATTACACAGTTTTTCTGAACCACCCTCCCAAAAAACCCCAACCCAAATGGTGTATCCCTTGCATGAAGGCAATCCATTTACAAATAGCCAGGATAGCTAGAGTTGTCTGGAGATCTGAGGCAACCTGCAGTAGGGCTGAGCCCCATTTGCCCAGTTTTCACCCCGGAAAAAACTTAGGGTAGAAGTATAAGCCAGGGTAAATTTCTCTTGACTGGCTGAACCTGACCAAGGCTTTGAGCGAGAATTTAATGTTCTCCAATGCATTTTGCTGATAATTCTAATGTGTTTTGTGAGCAATGCATAACAACACACTTGTGTCCCCTCTCACACAGTATGGAGCAGCAAGAAACTGGAATTACTTCAACGCAGGTGCTGAAATTTGCAGATACGCTTATGCACTCATATGCGTAGAAAGATCACTGAACTGAAGAAAGTTTTTCAAGCAAATGTTTCTTAATTGATAAACACTTTCTCTAAGTGAGGGAGTTGCCAATGGCTTGATAAAATACGCTGGAATTACACAAACATAAAAAGCATAAAATTTATCTCCTAACTCTTAACCCCTTCCTCCAAAAGCTCTTCAGCCCCACACTTTACATTTCCATGCTGTGCCACAGCAGTAAAATAGCATCTGAAAAAGTAATCTAAACATGTTACAGCCTCAGGGTAGGAACTGTAGGAACTGCTAATAAGGCAGTTTTATTATACTCTGAAAAGGCTACATATCCAAAGGATTTTGTTTCTTTAAAGACACTGGCTAAAAAGAAACTACAGTAAAAATTTACCTCCCATTTAAATAGGTTGCATCTGCACCAACACCCTGTTCATAGCTAGAAGTCCTGCTTTTACAAGAGTTTTCTGTGCTATGAACACTTTTTTTTAAATAACAGAATATAAGGATTATTTTAGTTGGCACATCAGAAAGCCAGTAGGAATAGCAAAAATTTTTTCTTATCTTTATTTGTAATGGCTAAAGCAATATTCAGGAATAGCAGGATAACAAAAGGAGCTGAGGAACATAAAAACTATACTTATTTAAAACTAGTTAGATTCGTATCTTAATTCTACTAGTAAACTACTATTCTACCCAGATATATGAATTCCACTTATAAACAGATAATAAAAATCTTACCTTTTTCTCCAATATTTGTCATTGTCACTGAAAAAAGATAAAAAAGGAAACAGTAAAAATTATGTTTAAATAGCAAATGATGTAACTGAATATTTAAACACTTTTTTTTAATCAAAGAGGGAAGTGTAATCATCAAACAATACATGTTTAATATCAGACACTATCAAGATTCTATGCTGTGTACATTCATTATGTGAATAGGTACAGAATACCAACTGCTTATAGTGGTTTTTTGGCTCCTATTCCCAGGCTCATTTCTTGAGAACTAGTACCTCCATCTATCTGAAGCCGCCCAAATTTAATCCAAGAAAAGCCACCCCTGCAGACCAGTTATTTCTTTAACTATGGTTGTATGGGTTTCACTGTTTATTTATGTTCTATTCTTGAACCAGAGGTATCAGACTCCAGAACTGGTTTTGACAGCAATACTTGGTGATACCTTAGATCTTCAAAGCATAAAAATTTAAAGTACACAAAAGTTGCATTTAGTTTAAGAATTTGCCCCTGGATTACAAGATTTAGGGATAGTAAAAGAGCAAGAAAGATGTAAGTATGTCAGGCATGGAGTGGAGTACACAGGTATCACACATCAGTCACTGCATTTTTCACTCTTGATCACATTATTTAAAAAACATAGCCATCCTGCAACAGGTATCTCAGTAAGATCAAAAACTCCCAAGTGATCAAAACCTCTTTCCACTCAAACCACTCCACCACACATTTATCCATCCTAGTTAAGCAGTCTAAAAACTAAAACTAAACAGAGGCTGCATAGCCAGGGCTTGTCAGCCTGGAGAAGGGTTTTTGGAGGGCCTAACAGTACCTCCAGGAAGGCATCGAGGAGGTGGAGCTGGGCTCCTCATACTGGCGCAGTGTGGGAGAACAAAAGCCAGTAGGTGTTAAGCTGAAATGAAAGGATCACATGTGATACAAGGAAAAACTTCTCCACCATGAGAACAACCCATCAGTGCAGAAAGCTGCCCAGATATGTTGTACAGCCTCAATCCCTGAAGTTTTTCAAGACTCAAACTGATAAAACCCTGAACAACCTGCAATGACCTCACATCTAACCCTGCTTTGATTAGCAGGTTGGACTAGATAAGCTTAGGTCCTCTCAAACAAGAATTATTCTACAACTCTGTAATTATAAAATAGGTCTATTAAAATGGAGATATGGCTATAGCTCTGCCAAAACAAGCATCTACTTTTACCTGAGGGAAAACAGTAAGCAACCATGTTTATAAAGTTCTTCACAAAAATCAGAAAGACACCATCGAAGTCGCATAAGCCACTATAAACTGTATTCTGCTCTCAGTTTTCTGAAATATTTAGAACTTGATAAGCTAAACATGCATCTAGACAACTGCTAGAGAGAAGCTGAGGGAACATGTATACACATTTAACTCTGAGGAACAGAGAAGGTCCACCACAATAATACACAAGAACTGTGAAATTGCAAATAAACAGTAATCCACCAGAGGACTGTTTACAAAACAAAAGACATCCTTAGAGCTGATGTGTAATTTAAAAGTGCTGAAGCTCTCAGATGAGGACAAATTAGCCACTACTCAAATTCTGATTTTCTTTCTCCACTTGGCATGGTCAGCAAAGTATGCACAAACTTTGACAGTCTTCTTGGAATAACTACTCTCTGTTAATTAAAAAGCCCTTGCCAAGCATATATTGCAGAATCACCAGTTTCAAAATAAAATCTATTTAACCAACCTTCACAATGATATGTGGCATTTTTCTCTCCTTACAAGGGAATGACCAAGAATATTGTGAAAGCAGTTGTAATCTTTTTTCCACCCCTTATCTTTGGATAAAATGTATTTATCAATGTCTTTGAGGTATCTAAATTTTTCACATGCCTGTATGTAAAGGGTAGATACAAGTAATAAATCCAAATTTCATAATCTCTACTGGACAGTAAACCTACAGCTTTTCAAAATTTCTGTCCACCTCTGGAAGGACATGCATACTTCAGAGTCTGCATCTGCTCAGAGGACTGTCTTTTCAGCTTTTGTGGTATCTAGCTTGGAAGCCAAATGTTCCTGACAGTCAGGACCATGAAGGCTAAAACACAAGTGCCCAGAGACATCCAGCTAATCTCAGCAGGGTGAGAACATGGTTTTTTTTCGAGAAATCTTGTCATTTTAATCTCTTTTACCACCTGAGTATAAGTCAAGAGCTACTTCATACACTCCTGACTTGCAACTACTTTAAGAGACCAAAGCAGAAGCGCTAAGGCTGAAAAGAGACGCCAGTACCTTCAGTCTTGCTATCTTTTTTCTCTACACATACTGCAACTGGTGTGTACAAGGAGACTGGCTGCACTGCCCAACAAGCATTCTCGCAGACGGTGACAGAGAGGAACATGCAAGATATCCAATAACCTGTCTAAGGTGAAGTACTATTCCTTCTGCTTATGCCTTTCAATCACCTTTGATGAAAGTTCCCCAAAGGAGGTGGGAAAGGAATGGACAAGCATCTGCAATACCACAGCACCAGAGAGGAAATGAAAGGGGGACTTTTTTTGTTTGGTTTGGCTTTTGGGTTGTTTGGTTTTGGGGTTTGTTGGTTGGTTGTTTTGCACAAATGTGACAGAATTGACTAGCAGGAAGAAAAAAAAAATTGCTCTTAGAAATCAAACTCTCTCAAATTTCTCTAAAAAATAAATTTTCTCTATTTGTTGAATGAAGGTGATACAAAGAGTTCTTGGGGTAACCACAAGATGTTTATAATTCTAAAATCACACTATTTAAGTGCATGGAAAATAATTTTCTGACATGAAAAATGCCACTCTAATTTTGGTTTGAACAAAGAAATGGTTGTTATTTTCCCCATCCTCTGAACAGCACACATGATGTATTTATTTAAAGCAAATTTTTTACTTTTCATTAGATTCAGTGATACAGCTTTATTATATTAATCAACAGTATTTGATCATATAGTCTTCCCTGAATCATTTATATCAGTATTTCCGTCAGTTTTCTCATTTGTCTTCCAAGGGGTTACATTCACTGTCGTAGTGCACAGAAAAGTAGGTCAGACTGTGCAACCCATCATTAATAAATATCAGCTGAAATGCTGCAAATGCACTTACTGGTAGTCAAATAGCACAGAAATAATATGGGTAAAAAGCATTTATGTCTACGATGACTAAAATAAACACTACGGACATGGCAATCCCAACTGCTAAGCAATTTCTGGAAGAAAACAGGGTAAAACCCTTTGGGACCAAAATGGAATGATACTCCTGTATATTCAGAGATGGAAATAATTATAAAACTGTGACTTGTCTTCAAGAGATCATTAAAAAGTTACAGCTTTGTTCGTCTGAGATACTGCAGGGGCCAATTTCATTAAGAATCATCCTTCCCCTGCTAAAGCTAAGGATGCCATTTACAGTTCAGTACTAGCAGACTAGCACATCATTAGAGCCTCTCCGGATAATTACGCAGCTTGCAGATGGTGCTCATCAGAATTAGGGACCAGGCTGGGACAGACGCAGGACTTCAGCCAACATAGATGCCAATTTCCTGAGCCAGAAACATCGTGCCCTGCTTGTCCTGAGCCACAAGCAGCCAGAAACAGGAACAGCATATTCTGTAGTCAATGCTGCTAAACAGCCTGCGCTTGCAAAAAAGCAACTGCAAAGAAAACAAAGCTGTGTTACAAAAGATCAGAAAAAGTCCAGGATGGTTTCCACCACCACATTAGTTTGCTAAGAAGAGAAGTCATACTGCTAGCACCTTGCACTGCATCAGACCTTAATTAAGTGACAGAAATGGATTCTCCATTTCTTGAACTACTGTTCATTTTATCTAGGAATGTTTATTCTCACTCACTTGTGGAAAAATTAAGTAGACATCCATCTCCATACAGCTAGAGACATGGTAAGACACACTGCTACCGAAAAACCCAAAAGAGTTTGGAAGATAAAATTAATGTAAAAAATTTGCATTGGTTTTGTAACATTAAATTTTGCTTGACTTCTAAACCCAAAATCAAAGTTCCTGAACTGTAAATGTAATGGTTAGATTTAAAAAAAAAAAAAAAAAGGGAGAGAAAGCAATTAATTTTTTTAAGCTTTGATAAAAGTGGATATAAAATCTTACTTTCATATTTTATGTACATGTTTAAAATATTTAAAACTTTGGAGTGGGAAAATAACACACACCTGATTCAGAGACTCTGCAGCCACATCTATAAATAGGTTCTTCTCTCAAACTTTTCTGAATTTTAACTTCTTGGATCTGATTCACAAAACTAAGTACATATTTTATCTTTATAGCATGTTTTAAGCTGGAAAACACTGATCTATAGATGCAGCTTAACTCAGCTCTGTGCACACATAAAAGTGTTTTATAGTTGTGACAAGTGTTCTGTCATTGCCTGCAACAGTCCTTTAGAAAAAATATCACTGCTTGCAATAAAAACCTACCTCTCTGCTAGACAGAGCAGTGATTTGCACTGATTCAGAGTGACAACATGCCACCAGCGCTTTGCTTCAGAACAAAAGTAACAAGTATTTCTGGGATATTTAAGGTTGGTATAAATAGCTATTAATACTTCATCGATAACCCTTATATTTGGATTTGATGGCATTTGTGAACGTTTCAGTAAACTCATTTTAACCCTGTGCCCATCAAACTGCATCACCATCTGCCACCCAGCAGCAAGCTGCTATTTGAATAGAACATCACTACGAATTGACTTAATCTTCTTTACAAAATTCCCATTTATGTTCCAAGTCACAAGGACTGACTGAAGAGTGAAGACTATTTCTAGCAATGTTGCAGAGTCAGATCCTTTTCAGCAGAAACAAAGTACCCCCTGACAAGAGCATCTATTAAAGTATGTATCAAGCAGTGTTAAATCTTTAATTGAAAACAATCTTATCTAATATCTTCACCATAGACCTTAGGTTTTTAACTTCAGGCCGTGGTTTAAATTTCAAGGCACAAAACCTATAGGTAATACACCGGGCACTACATGGAGAAATAATCAGCCATGCTTAACATAGATTTCAATTCCATTTCAGAAGTGGTCAATGGCAGCTGCATGGGAGCACTGCTGGATATACTTCAGAAGCCAATTTTACTTCAGCTGCCAGTTTCGAAACTTTTCTCAAAGTACCCAGGGATCACCAAAGAGGGAAAAAAAGCGGTATTTGCAAAATATGCAATAAAAATGCAAACTTTCCTTGAACAAAGTCCTTTTCTACCTTAGCAGCCAATGTAAAGATAGGGTATTTAACTGGTATTTGACAACAGCCAACTGCAATGTTACAATGTACTTGTATTTCTACAGCCAAAGGTAAGATGTAGATGGTTACAAGACAAAAGCTGCAAGTACCATAAATCCTTTAATTCATCTGAAGAACATAGTCAGCAAAGAGCTCAAATCCAGCAGACCAAATTGTGGGTCTGACTTTCCCCCCCACCTTTTTTTTTTTTACCTCTTATCAGCTTCTATCTCCATATTTTCTGCCACTTCTTATTCCCTGATGACCCTATGCCAAGCCCACAGGGCACATATTAATCCTGCCTCTAAACTGTGACGAATTAAGCAGCTTTTTATCCTGTTATAATTCCATTCCACTGATGGTACACTGATGGTCAAAAACCTCAAATCAGCACTAATCAATCTGATCCTCCAGCAAAACTTTTTCATGATCATTAACATCTTCAGCATCTGGATGTCATTCCACATTTTCTGTTCCATTCTGAAGGTAGCTGTGGACAGATACAAGCTACATACTCTACTCCAAAAACAAAGATGTGGCTTATGAGCTCTCCTGACAGTACGGTGAATGTCTTGTTGTATCCCCTCTTCAGCTGTGCTGAAGTCACTCTTTTCCAAATCAGGCAAATCATTCACCAGGTGGCAAGACTTCCTCCCTTTCCCTTCAGTGAAGTAGTAAGGAAATGCTTAGTGCTCATTTCTTCCACAGCAAATCCGTTTTCCTTCTTCAAAATTACAAATTCAAGCTACATTTTCAGACAGATTCCCTGAGCAAGAGCATAATCCTTAGAATTAAAAATCAGTGACATGTAAAACATATACATCCATATTCTATTTATAGGATAACCCTTTCATGAGCTCAGTTTATATTTTCACTAAAAACATCTGTCACAGCGCTGTCAAATTTTTACATTTTCCTTCTTTATGTGCACGTCCAAATCACAAACTGGCAGGAAAACAAAACCAAACGCAAACAAAACAAATAAACAAAACAAAACAAGCATCTCAGTATCCAAGTTTGTAACAAACATTTCTGACAAACAACTATCAGAAACTGCAAATAACTACTGGTTCTGCCTTACCTAAAGCATGGAGTGGACAACTACTCCAAGTCTCTTATAGTTCTACAAAACTGAGTGAGAGATGCATCTAAGAAGGAAGACGTAAGAACAATTCTTTTCTTTGCAAATGAAACATGCAAAGATTTTAATAAACACTAAATTTTCATATTTAGGTTTTCAGAAACACTGAATCCAATGTGTATTTTCTGAGTATAGACACATGGACGAGGTGCTGGGGGAAAGAACTCCATTTGAACTTCATGATAGTATTGTTCCACATATATCCTAGGTTGAAATTTCAGTAACTTTAGTTATCAAAGTTCATTGTACTCTTTGCAGGTTGCCTGTATTTCCTCATCTTTTTTAGAGGAAGAACAACAAGTCTGTATCCCTCAGGTTCTCATAAACATATTCAAATTTCTTTTAAGAGAAGGGATACTTATAGGCCCATTAATTTTAAACACAAAGGAAGGTATTTGAATGAAAAAAACAACTATTATTGCCAGACAGGTTTTGGGAGATGACAATACTGACAAAGTTGGTACTGGAATGGTACTGGAATAGAGAGAAGCAATTTTTAGTCAGGTGTTTTAAGACCAATTAATTTACACATTTAATTCCAGTATTCTATAACAGGAAGAAGAGAAACATTTGCTAGTGTTCAACACCCTTGTCCTTTCCCTTAAAGGTTAAAACAGCATGAGCACTTAACTGAATCCATTAATAAAAGAGATAGATATGGTAATACTACTGTTAAAAACAGTGAATTTCTTTTTCTATTTCTAAAACCTTTTTCAATTCCTAAAATGCTTTCCAATGCTGTAACTATTCAGCTTTAGGGATGAAAGGAATCAGATTAGTAGATTTCTTTTTTTAAAAAAATATAATGTTCCTCCTACAATGCTCAGATTAAAATTGCAGAAAAACTCCTCATTCAAAATACTTCATTTGAAACACTACTAAAAGCTCAAAATAGCTCATTACTAAAAGCTCAAATAAACCACTTAAAACAGAGCAAAGTCCTTGCTAAGTCCTACTGCACAATGGTTAACACTGTTTTCTGTATGTTGTCATTAGCATCAATGACAGTAAGCTGCAGGGAAAAAAAAGCAGCTATATACGTCCTCTTTAGCATTCAGTGCTGCAGGAATAAAAGACGCACTGAGCAGACAGGCTGGCTTCAAAGCACTGAAATGCTTACAGTCTATTCCTGCCGTTGGCTTTCGTTCCCAGAGTTGTTAGTTATTCCTTCTGTTGTTTACACTAAATATTCATTAGTAAGACAAGACATAAGTTTATTTTATCTTAATATGCCAAAAATGAGGGAAAGCATCCAGATACAGATAAAAGATGGAATTAGTGGAAGTTGTAGATGACTATTATGCTGAATTCAAAAACTGGTAAGCCAAGCAGAATGGGAAAGGGGTGGTGGGGGAAACTGAAAAAAAAAGAAAGAAAAAATCACCCTTATCCATAGAAAGGAATTCAGTAAAAGATGTTTTAGTAGAGGCCCAGGATTCTCTCTTCCTCCTCTCCCATCGCAGACTTTATGCTTTGAGGGGTTTTCAAGGCATTAGGGTACCACAGTTTACAGTTTGAAGCAGGTTTCAAGCATGTCATTTCCTTAAGACAAAAGCTTATGCGCTTTCAGGTAAGCTAAAACCCAATCTTCCTCTGTTATACAGAATTACACAGTAGAAAAAATACAGTTGATCACTGAAACAGTAATGCCCAAAACAAGCCTCCTGTACCTACTACAGGGCTGCATACACTAGGACAAATGTTAACTACAGAGCAACTTTCCCCTTAAATATCCTCTCCCTAGTCATGCCGGCTAACAGCTCCTCTCTCCGGGCTCACTCAGTCAACTTCTCCCAGAGCCCTGCAGACAATTCACCTCCTTGCACTGGAGGCAGACACTGCATTCCTCCTCTCGAGAAGGCACAGGAACTCTAGCAGAAGAGTGGTGCTCAGAACTAACAGATTTGACTATTATTAAGGAAAAAAAAAAAGATGCAAAAAGCCCACCTCCAATATAGGAACCACACCAAGTCTTCATACTTCCCTCCAAAACAGAGGTACTAGGCCTGGCAATCATTTTTTGCTTAGTCCCTCAACTGCTCAGCCAAGCATCTATAGGAAAAAAATCCTATCAATCTTCTATATACAATAAAAAAAGTAAAATCAAAATTACGTACCAGACTGCTGAGATTTTCAAGATGAATAGTTGAAGACTTACAACTCATATTCCTTT